ATCTACACTGAGTTGCCAGCCATGCTACATGCCTGCAATGCAGCAAATGCGCGTATCGGTTTTCTTAGAACTTTTCAAATATTCCAGAACAAGTTCACTGAGGCCAGGAAGATCTAAAGAACAAACAGGCCTCTGCAGTGATCTAAGGATTCCAATCTGTTGGCATTGACATCTGATTGTGAATTGTGCGTTCTCTCTGCTAATGAGCTACTGGTGTTTGTAATCTAAAATCTACACAGCTCGATGACACGTACTGAAAATCTAGTCTACAAATGGGATGAATGATTTGAAACTTTCCCAGGCATCCCATGAAACAATCAGACTCCTGCAGCTAGAAGAAGGGTTGGCTACTTAACTCCATCATTGCCCTTAAGGATGATATCATTGAACTGTCAACCTCAATAACCTTGCCAGCATCTCATCCATTCTTGCAGCTAGTGGTGACGCATATCAGAATCATCGAGCTATTCCGCGGGACGGATAGCGGTTTGATCTAGGATCTCTCGCGCTACTAGCTAGCTAGAGCATTTGAATTTGGGTAGCTCATAAAACAGTAGACTGTCAACAGGAATTTGAACGAATAGGACAAAAATAGTAGCTTTGACCTTGATACCATGACAACAGGCATGTATAGTACATGTACCAGTACTCTTGAATGCATTGCAAGTTTTAGTGACGAAGAGATGACACAAAAGGGAAATGAAAGGTACATGTACTACTTTCCTCTACCAATTTTAACATTTGTTAACCAGGATAACACTACAGTTGCCTTCAGCATCAAAACTTGCTGTCACAAAAGTCTTCCTGCCCTGCCAAGTCGGTTCTGCCTGGGCTGCTTGCAGCAGTTCATCAAAACCAGGACTCCCAGGTGCAACTTCGAAATTACAGTGTCTGGATTTGTCATAGATCGCGAGAGGAACTCTGTGTGAGATTGCTTGCACTTTGATATCAAACTTTTCGTTGACCCGGACATTGACGGGTTTTCGATAGCCAGAGCCCTCCCTATGGCTGGGAATGTTTCCTCTACCGCTGCGATCGAAGAAAAGTTATTTTGCTATTTGAAGTGCCTGTTGGCCTTCCAACAATGGCAAAGCTTTCTGGCTGCCATATCTTGCCAAACTTCTACTTCCTCCAATGCTTATTGGCACTTCTTGCTCAGTAATGACACACTTGCAGATTGCACAACATCAGATGCCGTGTCGGACTTCAAAACACCGCACTTACTGCAACTGAATTCAAAATTCTTGTCCCGCTTCCGCCCTTGTAAAGCGGCTTCGTTTTTGACCATCATGGCGACCCATGCTGAAGCCCCCCAATGGTGTCTGTACGCACATGGACCTAGGACTCGTGCCATCGCAGTCTTCCACATCCAGATCAGCATGATTCTCTTCCAAGAGAAACCTGGCACAGTCCTCACGGTTGCAAATAATAATCTCTTGAAGACAGACAATACCCATGCGATCTGGGATATCACAGAGTTTGGTGGGATTTTGCTGCTCCAATGCATCAACCAACTTTAGGTTTTCTGGTTTGACTGCCAACGTTTCTCGTGTTTCTGCGAGATACACAGCTCTCCTTCCCGTGTCTGACTGGTAACCTAGACACCAACCCTGATCGCCATTCCTGGCAGCAGAATTGAGACTGTGTAGCTCCACTTGTTTTCCAAAGAAGTGACCAGATTCATGAGCTTTGATGCATAGTCTCACCGCTTCCAGTGTCATGGGGGTAGCCATGGCTCCTGCTCCGTAGTGGCACACAGTTTTGCCACAAACATCTCTGGCATCTGGCCGTGCTCCATATTCCAACAGCAGCTTAACGACACTCATTTGCTTTTCGCTTACTCCTCGCATTGCCATGTTCTTTCCAATCGACACCATCATCAACAGCGGAGTCAATCGCAGCGACGTCTCTCGCGATTCCATTAACCGAGTCAGGGAATCACTAACAGCAGTCCTTCAGGCGGCGTTGGCTGGTTCGTGTTCTTCGCTCTTTCCAAAGCCGCTCGGACTGCTTTCACATCGCCAGACAGGCATTGCTTGGCAAATTCGCAAAATGGCAACATCCCAATATCCGAATAATGATTAATATCCGCGCCGGTGGCGAACATGTCACGGTAGAACTGAGCATTCTCAGCCGTCACGCGAGATTGATCTCCATCTCCTTGAGGCTGCGAATCATTCAGATTCACATCTGTACCATGGTCTTGTAGTCCTTGCCGAAAATGGGCCTTGACTTGTGGGAGGGACATCTGCGAGAGCTTCGCTTGTTCCTCGAATCCCATTCGCATCCCATCTTGCACGATTTCTTCAGTGGCCCTGTCGACCAACCCTGCATGGTAATACGGTAATACTCTAGCTAGCGACAGCAACTGGAACTGGCCACTGCGTCTGCAGTTCTCGCGATCACCAGATCTTTTTGGGTGATATCTATCCGATAATAGATTCATACGCCCCCTGGTCGTCTCCGTTTCCATAAATCTTTTATTACAACACCTGAAACAGTATTCGCGCGCTCGCGCGCTATCCCTTTCTTGCTTCGCCCCGCAAACAGCTCCCCTCATTCATGCGACATGTGAAAAGCAGCGACTTTCTGTGCATGTACATGCGTTGACTGTATCCCTCAATACAATACTAGTCAATACTAGACTTCTACAGAGGCCTCTAATATTGCACCGGTATAATTCAAACCTCTCCCCAACAGACCTTACCTACAAGCAATCGTCTCCGGAGACGAAATACAGTACGTGAATTGTTCATGTATTACGTCTCCTTGAGACACGCCCTTTTAAAAACACCCCTCTCACTTATGGGTTGCCCAGTTACCAGCGAAGCGATGGTAAACCGTTGAGCAGGATCCCTTAATGAGTGTGGTTTAGAGCAATAAACCGTGGAGCTTTGACAGTAATTAAGGCGGTTATTTAATTATTACAGGTGAAAAATTATTTATTAAGGTTAAAAAAAGATAAACGGCTAGTTTCGAAACAGAAAAAAAACTGAAATCATCAAAATGAAGCAACACCACCACACACCCCACACTAGAAGCAAGCCAACCACACATACTGGCGGCACAATCAAGCAGTGAGCATTGACCACAACATCAAGCCTCGCGGCGTTTGAGCACACCAGTAGAAGCACGGTTGACCACACGATAACCTCGCGCGTTGAGCACACACTACAACAACACACTCACAAAACAAGCCCTCGCGACGAAGCAACAAACGAAGCGAGCGACAACCACAGCAACAAGCCTCCGAGCGAGCGAACAACCACAACTACAAAGAGATGCACCTGAAGACGCAATAGTCGCAGTAGTACAGATGACCACAACAACAACCCTCGGGGCCTGAGCGAACACAACCCTCAACAACACTCGACGACACACCACAACCAAAACAAAAAAGAATCGCGGCTTTGACCGTCCAGGAAAGAAGAGTTCGCAGACTGTAGTAACGTACGGATCGACCACAACAACAAGGCGACCACACAAAACAGAATGGAATTGAATGGTTCAACCCGATTGGTGATCAAGTTGTTGGTTTGTGTTGAAATGTAGGAGGAAAACCGTAAAATAATACTTCAAAACAAAAATGATTTTTACACCTTTCGTTTAACAGTCAAGTCCCGGAAAATTACTTAGAAAGCCCAGGTGTGTTGCTTTTAGATTCCCCTCGTTACTCACCGATTTCGTCGGTTGTTAGCCACTTCAGTTGCAGAATCAACGTAATTGTATCTGTAATACGAACTGTATTTAGTGTTAACGTCTGTACAGGTTGTGCGCATCGTAACGCGACCGTACCGCTACGTACGTACGGTACCAACCGAAACCGTTAACTACAGTAACTGTCATGGAAACGGAATGAGGAATACGTCAACTTCTTTACATTGAAGTTCAAAACCGATGAACAATGTTGGAACGTCAGAGTACGAATTTGTATAAGTTATTTGGAATTGGTTAATTGAATGCTGCTTCGGACTGTAACATTTCCATCGTAATTGTCGGCGGAAAAGTATCGAAGGGAATGTAGCGACTGAAAGTTTCCAGCATATGCACCATTTCGTCTGTCATCTGGTACTTTGTTAAATCTGAGCGACAGTGGTTTTCCAAGAAGAGGCCTTTCATTTCTCTTACTTTGAAAGTACCACGTAAACCCAATTATCTGCATATTGCCGATCTCTCTCTTTTTTTCACTATGCAGATAATTTGGTTTACGTGGTACTTTCAAGAGTAAGAGAAATGAAATGCCTCTTCTTGCGAAAACAACTGTCGCTCGATTTAACAAAGTACCAAATGCCAGACGAAATGGTGCATAAGCTGGAAACTTTCAGTCGATACATTCCCTTCGATACTATTTCCGCCGACAATTACGATTAAATGTTACAGTCCGAAGCATCATTCAATTAACCAATTCAAAATAACTTATACAAATTCGTACTATGACGTGTTCCAACATTGTTAATCGGGTTTTGAACTTCAATTTACATGACGTGTTCCAACATTGTTCATCGGGTTTTGAACTTAAATGTACAGAAGTTGACGTATACCTCGTTCCGTTTCCATGAAAGTTACTGGTACGTTAACGTTTTCGGTGACGGTACCGCCTACTACGGTCGCGTTACGGTATTAAACTTAATACCATTTATCTTCTCTATATTTACTTTTATGACCTTATTCCGTTGATTATGCAACTGAAGTGCGGGTACAGTATTTTACACAGTAAACGAGAGCGAATCGGTTTCGGAGTGCAACTGAGGGGGAATATAAAAGCAACACACCTGGGCTTGTCTAAGTATTTTCACCGGGACTTGACTGTTAAGTAAACGAAAGGTGTAAAAAATCGATTTTATGTTTTTTTTTTCTTTATCTATTTTTTTCTAATACTATTATTATCTTTTTTTAACTTATCACCAATCGGTTGAACCATCCAATCCTTCTTGTTTGTTTGCGTTGTTGGATGTCGATCGTCCCGTAATACCAGTCCTGCGAACTACTTCTGTACTTTTCCTGGACGTGTCACTCAAGCGCCGCGATTTCTTTTTTTGTGTGGGGTTGTCGCTGCGAGTTGTGAGTTGTCGCTCGAGTTGGTTGTGCACTGCATACTTGCTGCAACTATTGCGTCTTCAGTTGCATCACTATTGTAGTTGTGTGTGTCGCTCGCCGAGCTTTTGTTTGTCGCTCGCCGCGGGGGCTTGTCCCTGTTTGTTGGACTGTCGCTCGCCGCGAGGGCTTGTTCTTTCATGGTTGTGAGGTCGTTCAACGCGCAGGCTTATCTTGTTGTCACCGCTCTTCTACTGGAGTCGCTCAAACCCCAGGGCTTGATTTTGGTCAATGTCATGCTTAGTGCCGCCAGTTGTTGTGGTTTTTGTGGTGGTTGGTGTGTGGTGGTGGCTCATTTTGATATTTCAGTTCTTTTTTCTGTTTCGAAACTAGCCGTTTATCCTTAGAGAACACCTGCTTAAATTGCTTTTTTCACCTTCATAAATAAAAATAAACACCTGTAATAATATTAAATAACCGCCTTAATTACTGTCAGAACCGCCCCACGGTGTATTGCCTCTAAAACACACCACTCACTTAAGGGACCTGCTCCCAACGGTTTAACCATCGCTTCGCTCCAGTTAAACCTGGGGCCAACGGTCCCAATAAGTGAGAGGGTGTGTTTTATAAAGGAGCGTAGTCTCAAGGAGACGTAATACATGAACACATTCACCGTACTGTATTTCGTCTCCCGGAGAAGATTTGCTTTTAGGGGTAATGGTACAGATGGGGGCAGAGGTTTGAACTATACCGGTCAATACTTAGAGCCTCGTAGAACAGAGTCTACGTATTTGACTAGTTTTGTATTGACGGGATACAGGCAACGCATGTACATGCAAATGAAAGTCGCCTCGCTTTTCACACAAGTTTCGCCTGATTATAGGACGGTTTCGGGGATGCAAGAAGGGATGAAGGCCGAGCGCTGCGAATACGTTCAGTTGTAATAAAATTTGGAAATCGGAGACGACCGGGCTATAACTATCTATTATCGGATAGATATCACCCAAAAAGATCTGGTGATCGCGAGAACTGCAGACGCAGTGGCCAGTTCCCAGTTGCTGTCGCTAGCTAGAGTATTACCGTAATACCATGCAGGGGTTGGTCGACAGGGCCACTGAAGAAATCGTGCAAGATGGGATGCGAATGGGATTCGAGGAACAAGCGAAGCTCTCGCAGATGTCCCTCCCACAAGTCAAGGCCCATTTTCGGCAAGGACTACAAGACCATGGTACAGATGTGAATCTGAATGATTCGCAGCCTCAAGGAGATGGAGATCAATCTCGCGTGACGGCTGAGAATGCTCAGTTCTACCGTGACATGTTCGCCACCGGCGCGGATATTAATCATTATTCGGATATTGGGATGTTGCCATTTAGCGAATTTGCCAAGCAATGCCTGTCTGGCGATGTGAAAGCAGTCCGAGCGGCTTTGGAAAGAGCCAAGAACACGAACCAGCCAACGCCGCCTGCAGGATCTGCTGTTAGTGATTCCCTGACTCGGTTAATGGAATCGCGAGAGACGTCGCTGCGATTGACTCCGCTGTTGATGATGGTGTCGATTGGAAAGAACATGGCAATGCGAGGAGTAAGCGAAAAGCAAATGAGTGTCGTTAAGCTGCTGTTGGAATATGGAGCACGGCCAGATGCCAGAGATGTTTGTGGCAAAACTGTGTGCCACTACGGAGCAGGAGCCATGGCTACCCCCATGACACTGGAAGCGGTGAGACTATGCATCAAAGCTCATGAATCTGGTCACTTCTTTGGAAAACAAGTGGAGCTACACAGTCTCAATTCTGCTGCCAGGAATGGCGATCAGGGTTGGTGTCTAGGTTACCAGTCAGACACGGGAAGGAGAGCTGTGTATCTCGCAGAAACACGAGAAACGTTGGCAGTCAAACCAGAAAACCTAAAGTTGGTTGATGCATTGGAGCAGCAAAATCCCACCAAACTCTGTGATATCCCAGATCGCATGGGTATTGTCTGTCTTCAAGAGATTATTATTTGCAACCGTGAGGACTGTGCCAGGTTTCTCTTGGAAGAGAATCATGCTGATCTGGATGTGGAAGACTGCGATGGCACGAGTCCTAGGTCCATGTGCGTACAGACACCATTGGGGGGCTTCAGCAGGGTCGCCATGATGGTCAAAAACGAAGCCGCTTTACAAGGGCGGAAGCGGGACAAGAATTTTGAATTCAGTTGCAGTAAGTGCGGTGTTTTGAAGTCCGACACGGCCCATCTGATGGCTTGTGCAATCTGCAAGTGTGTCCATTACTGCAGCAAGAAGTGCCAAGTAAAGCATTGGAAGGAAGGGCATAAGATAGTTTGCAAAGATATGGCAGCCAAGAAAGCTTTGGCCATTGTGTTGGAGAGGCCAACAGGCACTCAATACACGTCAACAATAAACTTTTCTTCGATCCGCAGCGGTAGAGGAAACATTCCCAGCCATAGGGAGGGCTCTGGCTATCGAAAACCCGTCAATGTCCGGGTCAACGAAAAGTTTGATATCAAAGTGCAAGCAATCTCACACAGAGTTCCTCTCGCGATCTATGACAAATCCAGACACTGTAATTTCGAAGTTGCACCTGGGAGTCCTGGTTTTGATGAACTGCTGCAAGCAGCCCAGGCAGAACCGACTTGGCAGGGCAGGAAGACTTTTGTGACAGCAAGTTTTGATGCTGAAGGCAACTGTATCGTGTATCCTGGGTTAACCAGTGTTAAAAAATGGTAGAGGGAAAAGTAGTACATGTACCTTTCATTTTCCCTTCTTTTGTAGTCATCTCTTTCGTCACTAAAACTTGCAATGCATTCAAGAGTACTGGTACCGGTACATGTACTATAAATTGTCCATGTTGTCATGGTCCGAGCAAGAGCTCAAAGACGTTTTTACTATTCGTTCAAATTCCTGTTGACAGCTCTACTGTTTTATGAGCCTCACCCACAACTTCAAATGCTCTAGCTAGCTAGCTGTAGCGCGAGAGATCCTACGATCAAACCGCTATCCTCGTCCCGTCGGAAATAGCTCGATGATTCTGCATTATGCAGTCACCAACTAGCTGCAAGAATCGCGATGAGATGCTGGCAAGGTTTTTGACGGTTGACAGTCTCAATGATATCATCCTTAAGGGCAATGATGGAGTTGAAGTACCAGCCAACCGCTTCTTGCTTGCGGCACGGTCTGATGTCTTCATGGGCATGCTGCTGGGAAAGTTTCAAGAATCATCATCCCCATTTGTAGAGCTAGGATTTTCAGGAAGTGTCCTCAAGGCAGTGGTAGAGTTTGTGATTACAGACACAGCAGAAGTGCTCAGTTGCGAGCAGAGAAAAGCACCAGATTCACAACATGCAGATGTCAATGCCCAACAGATTGAATCCTTAGTATCACTGGCAGAGGCTGCTTTGTTCTTTGATCTTCCTGGCCTCAGTGAACTTGTTCTGGAATCATTTGAAAAGGTTCTTAAGGAAAACCGATACGCGTCATTTGCTGCATTGCAGGCATGTAGCATGGCTGGCAACTCAGTGCCTGAGATGCTCATTGAAAGGGCAAAAGCTTGGGTACGAATTGCCCCAACTAAATCACTGTCTGTCAACCATGTGGCTAGTTTGAATGCAAATGTCATTGCAGAAATACTCAAGGACTCAGAAATGGAAATGTCAGAATTTGAGCTCTTCCAAATTCTGTCCCTCTGGGTAGACGCGGACCCTTGTCAAAGAAGGGAACAAACACTTTCTCTCTCTAAGCATATCTCTTTTGAAAAGATTGAACTTGATAATCTGACAGCAACTGTGGCTTCATCGGGTTTGGCTACTTTGGAGCAACTATGTGAAGCTTACAAAATTCAGGGAAGCAGTTACCGTCAGCAAGCTTCCAAACTCATCGAAGAACGCGTGCACGTTGGGTTTCCCATAGACCTGTTGCGTGTGCAGAGGTTCCAGTTGCAATCAAGGTGCAAGGGGCAGGAACAGAATCTGTGAATGGTGTGTACACACATGATGGAACGCATGACAACAAACCTAAATATACCATGCATGGGTCCTACAATGGCAGCCTCTGTGTCTTTTGGCTGTATCCTCATTTCACAGGAAAATGGTTCATCGATATTCACACTGCAGCGAACCCGCATTTGGAGGTACTTGTTGAGTTCTATGAGGCGCACTATGATGTGATATCCCGGGATCTCCCACCAATAATGGGTTGGGACCTTCAGAGAGGTCGTGCTGCAGCTGGGGCTGCTCCTGCTCCGACTCTGCTGTTCAAGTTTCAGCAGTCATTGTCATAAACAACTCGCAAGAACTACATTGGGCAGTGGGACAGCTTTGCTGTACGATGTACCTGGTACCGGTGGCCCTTTTCTGCGCCGTACCTAATAGAAGATGTCTCTAACCTCTGGCGAAAGTGTGAGTGAGTGATCCACTACCAGGTACCTAGCAACACGCAACCCCACCGATCCGTTCAAGCAACAGTGATGGCAAAAGAAAGACACTAGCTAGTTGCATCAAGCTGATTGAAAATAGCACTACAATTAGATGTATAAACTTATGTAACATAGATTGATTGCGATCCAGATCATGCCGTGGCAACACGATGCAGCAACTCATTCCCCATATGGTACAGAGCGAGCATCAGGAAACCCCAATCTAACCAGAAAACTTGATATTAAAAAAGTGCGACCCCCAGACGCGCAAGACACCAACCAAAAGTAGGCAATGAAGATCCCAGCGCAATCCGTGTCACCAGCTGCGTTTCCACTATTCTTTCTACGTTCCATGCACTAGAATATCTTCTTCTCCTCCTCCCAAGCAAGAGCAATAACATAATTGTAGCCAATGACAGCAGCTAAATCACAGCCATAATATTATGTTGATTGTCTTGCGGTTGTGCTGCGCACAGGTTACAAGGAAAAAGAACCATTTTGTACCGGAATAGCCCGTCGCGGTTGACCGATGTTCTGACTGTGTTGGCTGCGTTGACTGCGTTGGCTGCGTCGGCTACTCTGACTATGGGCAGCGTGGCTGTTGGCGAGGCTGTTCTCCATGTCTTGCGAGGGAGGAGTTTGGTAGTTGTACGCTGGTGGCAGGAAGGCAGCATCTCTGGCCGGCTCATTGGTGATGAGTTTCGGTTTTTCTCCCATGCTAAACATCTCCAAGAATCCAGAAGTGCAATTCTCTGCCAGCTTGCTGAACTGGGCATCGGAAGGACAGAATCCACCGCTGCCTTGAACGGCAAGCTGCGTTTGCGGGGCGAGTTGGTTGTTCTGCATACCACTGTCGCAAGACGGATACCCATTGCCGACGTATCGATGTGTGGGTATTATATCCGTTTCGATTTGATACGACCCCACGCCTTCCATTCCGTCGTCGTCCTTGTAGTGGAGTTGGTCGTCTCCATATTGAGGAGTGTCTTGGACCGCGTACTTTGATGTCTTGCACCCCATGGTTGTTCGTTCGTTCCTTTCTTTCAATGAATCTCAAAGCCAATGCCGTCGCTACCAGCAGGGCCCCGCAACGATGATGAAGAAGAAGAAGAAGAAGACGACGACAGCAACAACCTGTAGTGTCAGTTTTACGCGGCTCTTGCGTGAAGGGACAAACGACCCATGTCGTACTTACATTAGAGTGCAGACCAACTTGTCGGCGATTGAATGCTTTCTTCTCGCTTGCGGCGATTAAAAGTGAGCATGGAATGAGATCGAAAGACAAGATACGGTACTTAGCCAAAGGTGCGCGACCGGAGCCAGCCACGATGGTAATTAACCAAACGCCTGCTTTTCGAGTGCGCTCAGTGCACCTTGGTTTGTTGGCGACGGATCAAAACGCGGTTCGCGCTGAAAATGTGGCTCTGGTTTTACAAAAAAACTTTTAAACACGCAAAGGTCAGCTGGACTGGGGGCCCGAAAATGGGGTATAAAGGGGGAATAAAAAGGGGGAGATGGATACCCCGATCTTTCGCAAGACGAAGGATCTTTGGGCTTGCGGTGTCTACCATGACAATCGCTTCTAAAGTCTTGTGTCTCTGTTGAGGTTGGATGGCCCATTCATTACCCTGATTGTCCTATAATAATCTAGCACCTGCAAGAGACCCTATTATCTTCCACTGTGATAAGGGAGAAGTTGGAGAAGATAAACATGACCAAAGTTGTGTTTTCTTCGCTATTGCTCTTACTAGCTCTCGCTGCTGCCAGCACATGGGCCAAGAAAGAAGACTTGGAGAGTTCCGTTAATGTTGGTGGCTGGGGAGAATGGACCTATGTCTATGAGCCCTCCTACTTACCTGTACCAAAGGACGCCGACGTGGAACATGCCCATGGTATCGTCATTGATGACCAAGGTAACATTATCATAACCTACAAGGACAAGACAGATCCCTCCAAGTGTCTTCTTCGGTGGAAACATGGCGATGGCCAATATCAACAGATGCCAGAATTTCTAGGGCCAGGAAAGGAGCTCTGTCAAGGTGTACCTCATGGTCTTCGGACGCAAGTCGAGAATGGGACTCTTGTTTTGTATCATGCCAACAACCAGCAAGTCATCCATAAAACCACCATGGACGGAGAAATCATTTGGACCGTGGCAGGAAAGCCCGACGAGAATTCGACGGATTCTTACAAACCAACCTGGTTCGCCGGAGCTCCCGATTCGCCCTATGTCTACCTAGCAGACGGATATGGATCCTCCAAGGTCTATGTTTACAACCGAACCGACGGCAACTACACGGGCCATTCGTTTGGAGGGCACGGAAAGGGGCACGGACAATTCGAGACGGATCACGCCATTACGTACGACTCTCGGATAGGTTACCACCATCAAATGGTCGTTTGCGACCGTGGGAATCATCGCCTCGAATACTTTAAGGTGGATCCTCAGGATCCATCCATCTTTGAGTATACCCATACCGTGTCCTTTGATCCTTTGCTACAACTGCCGTGCAATATTCGCATGCGGCCCGAAGATGGTGTAGCCATCATTCCCTTTCTGGAAGGCACCGTGGGGATCTTGACTGAGAACAACGAGCTCATGTCGGTCGTCAACATTACACAAATGTTGGGCGACAAGGGCTTTCTTCATCCGCACGATGCTCACTTTGTGCCGGCCCTGTCGGGTGATTTTGTGTTGGTCACTTGGAATCCCGGACGCATTGGGTATTTCCGAAGGGTACACAAAGGTGGCGATGATACTAACGTGGCGTCTCAATAATTAGTAATAATAAAACGGCATTGACAACTTCATTACCCGACGTAGTTTGCACTGCCCGAATAGACAATATCCGTGTCTTTTTGTCGCCACTTGTTTCCCGAGGCAGCGAGGTTACCACCGCCGACGGTTTGTGCGCAAAGGGGGATCATGGCAGCAAATGCTCGGAATCGCATAATGCTCATCAGATCCTTTCGGGAAGGAGCGTCCGCGGTTGTAGTCGTGTGCTTTCCCAAACCCATCGAGCTGCCAAAGACATTGTCCCAATTCTGACACATTTTCAGTCCGATCCAAGAGTCGATAGGACCACAGACGGGAAGACTCTCCAACAAGTACTTGGCTCCGTCCAGAGAAAGAATGTAGCCAGTCAGATAGAACAAAAAGGTGGGGATGCTAACATGCTTGGAAAACTTGACCAGAGGAGCCGTTCTCGGTCGACTGTAGCCTAGAGAGCAAAAGTGAAAATCGCGAGGCAATTCTTCCAGGATTTCGTCCAACCGATCCGCAAATCGATCCACCATAATGGCATCGTCCTCCAATACAACACAAACCGGACACGGAGGCATATCAGCGGTTTCTGGAGACTGCCTGAGAGGAAGTCCTCGGGCAAATCCACTAATTAGGAAAAGACGTCTGAAGCCTGGGCCATGCTGCAGGACTGTAGTGCAACGGAGGATCGGACAGCAGCAAGATAGAGGATGAGACAAGTGGCAGTCACAGCCATCAAGAACCGCTTCCATCCCAAGAACCTACCAGTGGATTTGTACTTCGATTGACCTTTGTCGCTGTTTGAGAGAGTGCGAATGACACCTTTCCACGCGGAAATGTGGGAGAGGGCACACGATCGTTCAGAATCGCTCAATCGCACCAAAGCCTTTTCGTTGTCGTTGGCAAACCGATCGAATGCCTTCAGGTCGTGGGGGCGCCACTTGGGGGCAACGTAGGTCTCCAGGCGCCGTCGACATTCCTTGCTATTCTCCCCGTATGGAAAGATCTGAGCGTACAGATCCTCCAGTTTTTCTTTGCCGTCAATTGCAAATCCTCCATGCAAGCTCCCATCGGAAGTCGCTGAGGTACCACCAGCCTCCTCGTCCACGCCAATTGCCTTGTCCTCCAACGTCGCTACTGCCTTGAGAACAAGGACGCCTGCATTTCTGGATTGCGCCATCATTAGCCTCATTCTGTCTCTTCGTCGTTTCAAGTTGATCACTCTTACAGTTGGGACGCTAGACATGGTTTCAATCGACCCGAGCAAAGTCTTCAGACCGGAAGAAGACGACTTCCTTGCAGTAGTTGCTTTGACATCATCAAAACACAGTAGTCCGCCAATAGCTTCAACGACCATGTCACCGTCAGCAACAAGGCCGCAGCAATCAAGAAAAGTAGCCCAAAGGCGCCATGACAAAGCCACATCCGGAACCGCCGCTTGTCGATCGATGGTTGGTTGAACCTTACCGTGGAGGGAAGCGAGGCAATTCGATAGAGCATCGCCTACCGTAGTATTCGAGCCCAGGAAACTTCCGACGCCTTGATGGTATGCGTCCAGCTGCCGATTGTCAAGTTGACGCAATGCCACGAAACATGCATAACACAGCTGCCGAAAGCTCCCCGACTGCGTCTTGGACTCATGGTACTGCTGTATTGTCCGTAGCAGCAGCGTTTTTACCATGTCATAATCCCCATTCGCGACCAGAGCAAGTCTCAAAGCATAGGAAACAGAATAGCCTGTAATCCCACCTGGAACCTTTCCTTTCACCAACTCTCGTTCCAGCTTTACCACAGCCTCGCCGGATAGCATGCTCAAGGATCTCGAGTATCCTTCCAGCAAACTGTGGATTGAGGCTTTTTCCAGCTCATTATTTGAAGTGCTCTCAGTCAACCAGAAGCTCTGCGACTTGACCAAACGCAAATAGCAAGCCCATTCCGTTCTAGCAACATCGGTGATTCTAGTCTCCGGACTTTGCATTCGCTGACGCCATATTGAAGCAGTGGCATGGATACATGTAGACAGAATCTTCGGCTGAAGAAACTCGGGGTTACCAGCCGGCCTCGATGATTGGGACACATCGTCATTTTGGCCAATCAGGAGTCTACCGAAGTAAGATGAGCTTGCTTCGCCAGTGTTCCTCTTGTTGTCGTGTTTTCGTTCAATTCCACACTGGGACAATATGTCTCGATCCAAAAGAAGCAATCCTTCCAGGCAAACCAGGCTTAGAACTGGTTGAACCCTAGGGAAATCTTCGAGCTCAATCGCTGGAACACACGACAGGACGTAGTTGCATACGAGCTGAAAGGCCCGATGAGTGTCACCCCGAAACAGCAATAGGCCAACCAACAGCTGCGCAATGATCCGGCGTTCTGCTAATGCGGAGAGTCGAGATTGGCTCTTTGCGGAAGCCTGGGCTTCCAGGTTGGTCTTTTTGGGTTCACTTGCGCTCTCCTCGACATTGTCTCCGCCCTCCTCTCCAGCATCTTCTTGATAAAACAAGTAATCCAGTTTGACGAGCATCGCACGGTCCGTGACTCCCCAGTTTCCCGATATTTCCCCAAACAAAGACTCTACGAGATGATCTACCATCTCTTTCCTGTCTCGCATGCCAACCTTGATGGACTCTATCCATTCTGGATCTACAAATAGGTCTAATCCTTTGCACTCGAAGAGCTCCTCCCACTGGTCGTTGATGGGGCTAAGGCTCCTGGGTCCGCAATAGGCATCCATGACAGATAGCGCTCGGAACAAGCACACCTTCCCCACATATGCTGGATGGTCCACATCATCGTTCTGCTTCCCTTCGTTCTCTGGCTGTTGCAACGTCGAGGGCAGTTTATCCCCACAAGGGTACCAGTGAGGCGACATGCGAAATGCTTGATACTCTTCCTGCAAACCACCAATGTTGATCTGGACGCGTGTGAGACCCCGCAGCGCAAACAACATATCCGTCACGACTGTCTCGTTGGCGCGGCGCTCAAAGACGTTTTGCTCCGTCGGATCCACACTAATCTTCTTCCCCTTGTTCTTGCCCACAAGCTCCCTCTTCAAAGCGTTGGCATCGGCCTTGTCCGGCAGGAAGGAAAACCCTTCTTGATCATCTTCTCCCTCCTCGGCAGGAGTTTCATCCGCGGGTTCGGTATCCATCGGTTGCGACGTGTTGTTCTCGTCCTGATCCACAATACCGTTATTGTTTTTGTCATTGGCTTTGTCATCGGCGATTTTGACTGTCGTCTTAACCACCAAGGTTACCCCGAGGTGTTGCAGACACCGATAAGCATCGACCAATTCGGACAAGATGTATTCCTGATTCTGCTTCCAAAAGGGCAGTGGTGTGTCCTCATCCACTCTCTTTCCCGCATCGTCATCGCCAGAAGAATAAAAGTCGATATCATCATCCTCGATTTGCTTGCTTGCACTTTTGGTTTTCTGTTTTGCAACGTTCTTGTGGGAAGCACTGACCGGTTTGGGTGGTTTCTTGAGCTTGTCATCGTCACTGTTGTTGTCATCTGAGGAGTAAAATTTGAAGGCATCATCATCGATTGATTGTTGCTTGTCCCGTGGAGCTTTCTTAGGTGGAGCTCTGCTGGGTTGGCTACCGTTTTTGCGGATTGTTTCCTTTGCCAACTTTTGGCTTTTGTCGTTACCATCATCATCCGAAGAGCTAAAGTCAAACGCTGCATCGTCTATCGGTTTTGTGTTGGCACCTTTGTCCCCTCCACCCCCGTTCCGCTTGCTATCTTTCGTGGGTGCCTCTTTCTCCTTGCCCTTTTGTTTCCCCTGTAAAGAATCCACTGGTGTGCTTCGTTTCCCCTCCTCCTCATGCCCTTGTGCCTCGTCCTCTATTGGTTTGGCTTTGGCGACATTGGCCTGGCTTTGACTGTTGGCATTTTCACCCGCTTCGTCATCAGAAGAGTAGATTTCAAATGTGCCATCATTCTTCTGCTCTTCTTCCTTCTTGTCCGCTTTTTCTTGCACTTTGTTAGATTCCATAGGAGACTGTGGCTTGTTTTGATTGTTGTCTTTGTCACTGTCATCATTATCATCCGAAGATGCAAACTCAAATGCGGCATCCGTCACAGGTTGCTCTGTGGCGTGTTTCGAACTTGTATCTGGTTGTGGTTTCTTGGAACCAGGTTGCTTTGTACTAGAATCCTTTGGAGTTTTGGATTCTGTCCGTCTCCCATCATGATTGTCGTCTTGGCTACTGTCCGATGGGATTTCAAACATCGAGTCATCGTCATTGGCTTTTTGGATTGTAATTTCTCTGGGCGGTTCTTCGTTGTTGTCGCTGTTGGCAGGTTTCTTTCGATTGTCAGCAGCAGCCACAGCTGGAGGAGGCACTTCATCCTCCTCGTCATCGTTATCTTCTTCTTCATGATTGTTGTTTCGTCGTCTTTGTTTGGATGGCTCATTGTCTCTTTTCCTTTTCTTCTTGTCAGGAGGCTTGGCATCCTCACTACTTGGATCATCATCATCGTCCCCTTTATTGCTGGCTCTTTTAGTTTGTCGCAGACGCTGGTTTTCCTGTTCTAGTCTTTCATTTTCGGCCTTTTGTTCTTCGTAAAGACTCTTGTAGTGCCGCGCCTTTTCTTTCCATCGCGTAACATCGTCATTGAGATTCTCTTGCAAGGCGGTAAAGTACGCCAGCACGACCTTGCTCTTTCGAAGCAGCGTGACTAGGGATTGTGGGGGAGGAGGTGGTGGTTCTGGACGACGAGGCTTGTTATTATCATCTTCTTTTTGTGGAGCTCGGGCCTTGCCTCTGCCTTGGTTGTGATTATCGTCCTTCTTGCGTCGTCTTCCTGACATCTCTCTCAGCAAACTTTGAAGCTACGGATACTACTTCACAAGCAACAAGCGAACTGTGCCTCGCAGCGAAACACAGATCGCCATAGCATCATCAAGCGAACTGGTTGGCCTTCGAAGGTGTGTAAAAGGAGACTAAACTCTTCGAACACCGCGCCTTGGCTGCATCTCGCAGGCGGGAAACCCCCCTAAAATTCGATCCAACTCGAATGAATGAATCGAATGATCAATCGAATCACTTCAGCGAATACTTTTCTCACCTCCAAGCTCCGGTGCGAAGGGCTTTTGAGGTTGCTGTTGTATGTACTGTAGGAGGGCATCTATTTGGTGGATTGATTCCTTGCGGTGGTACCACAGAGGACTGAGGAGGAAGCTTCTCAGCTGCATGCTTCAGGGGGGGGGGCAGTGGAAATATTGAAATAGTCACAATTTTCCGGTGGTCCCCTGTACAATGTAACTATGCCACTGAGGATGGGTCTACATGTAATGGATACAGTGGGCAGGGTGGTTGCACGGGGATGCATGTGTACCAGGGACAAGAGATTGACTCTCTGTTTTAGTTTATCATCTAAAGTTCTGCACTGTTTTAAAACTTCCACCAATCATGTAACATCCAGTAATGAGCAAGATTGCCCTTCCGGTTTTCTTGCATCAGCAATAGCAATAGCAATAGCAATAGCAATAGCAGTGGCGAGCTCTCATTTCTCCAAAGTTACCAATCCTTGCGCTTGAGAGCGGGCGTGTGGTTTTCATAGGCCTGGTCAATCTCCTCAGAAGTCTTTTCAGCTGTTTCGACCTGGAAAAAGTAGACAACACCAACAGCAACGAAGATGGCGCCCGCAAAGAAAAAGAAGCAGGCTCCCAAAGAAGCAGTGGAAGCTACGGGGAAGAGGGCACCAACAATAGTGGTAAAGATCCAGTTGGACATCACACAGATACCAACAGCCTTGCCACGGGTGCGGTAGGGGAACATCTCGGGAATAACAATCCAGAGGACAGGACCCCAGCTGAAGGCAAAGCCAATAATGTAGATGGCAGCAAAGACCAGGACAGCATATCCAACGCCCTGGGTTTGTTCCACAACAGAGAGGATTCCACAGGCAACAAGGCACGGGAACATGAACATTCCTCCGAGAGTCAAGAGCTTGGTGCGGCCAAAGCGGTCCACAGTTGCCACAGTGATGAAGGTAGAGAGACAGTTGATAGTGTTGAGCACAAGAGTTCCGGTGATGGCCTGGCTTTCGGTGAAGAAGGTATTCAAGATGTCAGGGGCATAGAACATGACTGCGTTGATTCCGCAAAGTTGCTGAAAGGCAAACAAGACGAATCCGAGGATGACACGACGGCGCATCAAGTTCTTGTTGGAGAAGACCTCACTCCATGGAGCCTGTCCAAGCTTTCGCTCCTCTTCAACTTCGTGTTGCAGCTTTTCAACTTCTGAGTCAATTTCATCTTCAAATCGCATCTTGGAGAGTGCTTCCTTGACTTGCTCCTCAGTACCATGAGCTGCTAGCCAACGAGGAGACTCGGGCATGAAAGCAAGGCATAGGATCAAAATCACAGCAAATAAGATGTTGCCTCCATAGGAGATCCTCCACCCATAGTCCAATTTGGCAAGTCCAATATTCATTGCAGATGCAAGGACAATGCCGATTGTGATGGCAAGTTGCCAAAGAGTTCCAAGGGCACCACGAATGTGCTCAGGGGCACACTCACCAATGTATACGGGCGAACACATGCTGAGCATGCCAATGCCCATACCAGAGAAAATACGACCAGCCCACATGACCTGCATCACAGGAGCCCACGCTTGAATGCTAGCGCCGAAGATGAACACGAGAGCCGACAAGCCAAGAGTAATCCGACGCCCAAACTGTTCCGCCAATCTCGAGTTGAGGAGAGCTCCAATGGCAGCTCCAATACCAAATAGACCGTTGATGAGGCCCTTGTCGCGGTCCATGGTGCCTTGTGAAGCACCAACGCAATCGATGGCATCGTGGGCACACTCCCACTTGAAGTGATGCTTAAAACCATCCATGACGAATGTGGCACCTGCCCCTGCGATATCAAATCCAAAAATGAGACCTCCAAGGGCTGCAACACTTGCAACCAATACGATGAATTTCTTGGTCCTCTTGGGCGCAACATCAAGGTTAGCACCGCTCTCAATGTCAACATCGGAGAAAGTGTTTTGGGTACCGGTATCATCAGGTTGTTCGTTCTTGATGCTTCCAGAGGTAGACATGTTTGCGTTTGTTGTGATTGTTGTAGACATGTTTGTGTTTGCTTTGATTGTGTTTGTGTTTTGTGTTTTTGTTTCTTTGTTTTGTGAGCTTTGGATATTTGGGTTTTCAGGTGTGCCACAGATCTTCAAGCAGGGTGCTTTGAACGATCTACGCGATGCAGAAATCATCCGTCTTAGCCGTGTTTCCTTTGACAACCCTCGTGCTTGGCTTCGCTTCGGCAACTTGAAAAAGATTTTGCAAGTTCACTTACGTACAGCATCTATTGAAATATCCACGATTGGCGACTCCCAAGTGTTCCAAGGAACACAGTTCGTGGTCTTGAACCATCCATTGCAGTCAGTGGAAGCCCACTCGGACAAACAACCAGCATCTCGCAGGCTCCTGTAAATCGGCAGCATACACTGTAGCTGTTGTCTATCGATACTCTACCGTAGAGCACGTCCAAACAGATGTTCCGCACCACTATTATTGCTTGCAATCAGAGCCCGACGAAGACGGCAAGGGTGCAATGCTGAAGCCAAAGAACCGAGGAAGCAGTTTGTAGTTGACACCACTCACATTTGAGGCTTTCGGAGTCGATCGGAGGAGCCTAAACGTATCCATGAAAATCCCTGGATTCATCAAGCCTCCTCCTTGAAGTCGTCCAATCTGGTTCGCTGCTTCGTGTGCCGGTCGTACACGTTCGCCTCTGATTCTTTGCTCCAGTTTGCACTGGCCATGGAGACGAAGAGACCAACCCCCCTCTTCCACTTCGCAAGATTGATATCTTTGAAGATGCTGAGATTAGTTGACGATGAGCAGGCGGTTTTAGGGTGGACTGCTGTAGATGAAAGGCTCAGGAAGTGAAGGGAGTTCTCGTTAGATCACACCTCCTGGGAGGTTCTTGTGCTTGTGCTTGTGCATGTGCATGTGAGCAAGTGGCATTCTATCCTCCCCAATGCATACATGTACCGGTAGCTCTTGTTCCTGGTCTTCATCGAGAACCGAATCCGTAGTTGCATCTTGTCTCATCGTTATTTAGCGAAAGCAGAGATGCCTTGGTCGCAGGGCTGGGTCGGGTAAGTGTTTCTGTTTTACTACCATTTTATCTCCACAACACGTACAAGATCGGCAGCTACAACATGAGCAAAAACAATGCAGGGGCAGGGTACCGAAAATTTGTTCTGGCTCCACTGGATTTTCAACGCAACCAAATTTTGGGCACAGTCCACTCTCAGTGAAATTGACAATGGGACAAGCTCAAGCTTTGCACGGCAGTGAGTTGTCCCAGGGCAAAAGGAGTTTGACCACTCAGTTGATTGGCCCAAATAGTCAAGCCAGTTTTAAATGCTGCAGGCAATCATACCAGTAGATCAGTTGGGAGGCTACCTGTCAATTTGCTTTGGGGCAAGTGTACCGGTACCCCCATCAGAGCTGGCAAAGCTGTCGGTGATGTCACATCTTTTGTGGGTACGACTGTAAGGGTCCTAGTAAGCCTTGATTTGATGGATCTGTTCTGGTAGTGTTGAGACCATACCGGTAGACAGAGTCACTCTCCCAAACACATATAATTTTAAATACTAGCACCGTACGCCACCGCAGCAGTTGGCTCCATGTTTGGCCATCGCGAGGGAACGTGAGAATCTTGGGCAAGTGTGCATCCCGAGGTGCCTGCCCCTTTCGTGGGCACCATACTTGCCATCTCGAATCTCGACAACACCTCCGGTTCATTTCCTTCTTCTGGCCTCAACGAAGCAGTGCAACCAATGCACAAGCAGACGATGCCCCAGTTGCCAACGTACTGTATCTGATATAGAGACAAAGGTTTCCACAAAAATTTGAAGCCGTCGAATTTTCAGTCTTGATAAGAAGCAGACATTGGAAAAGCTCCTTTCGTCATTGATGAGAAAGATCTGACCAAAACGAAAATGCCGAAACTACTGGAGGGTGCAGGGGGGAAGAGCAACAACGGCAAAGAGACTAAGAGAAGATGGTCCACTGCATTGTTTCTCGTGGGAGGGGGTCTATGGTTATTCTTTGCACAACTGTCACAATGCAAGTTGAAAGCATTCTCGCTAGTTTACCGATACAACCATGCTACCGGTACCACTGAGGATCAATCCGTCACGCAGCAAGACCATCAGAGGATGCAAAACGAAAGCTTCTTCAAGTTGCTACGAGAACCACCTTATTTCTTGCTGCATGATCAAACTATGCGCCTATCGCCACACGTCCTCCGTCCCTGGCTTTACTTTGACACTCAATTCTTCCCATACTCACCACCGGCCGGTCTGCAACGACCCAAACGCAAACTGATTCTCACCGATTTGGCATGGAACCATCCAGATCAAACATGGGCATTATCCAAGTTCCCACGGAGTCTACGAATGCGAGAACTCCTCCAGGCGTATATCGATCACCCTGACTTTGATCCAACTTTTTCGTGGACTCGCCACCTCCAGAGAAAAGTGGACATTGATCCTTCCGTGGAGTATGTGGTCTTGTTGGATATCGAAACCTGTTTTGAAATCAACTATCCCAAATATGGCGCCAATTTACCCACGAGCTCTGACCCTTTAGGAGGCAGACTGCTCGATGCTGCCGGAGATCACCCGTGCTTTCACTTTGGCAGCTGCAAGGACTATATCAAACGTGTGCTTCAAGCACCACTCTTTCAGCAACACAATAATACAACCAGCACACTTGTGTATATCGATTGCAAATCCGATGGTCCTGAAACTCGAGTTCGAAAAGAGCTTTTCAATTCCACCACCCAACTCTCCGTTGTGTCTCTTGATGCTGACATTGACCAGTTGGTGGCGGATGCGGACATGGGGCTGCCTCCGCCGACTGTCAAGCCAATCATTCTCACGAATCCAGCCCGGGAAGCAATACGCAATAGCTGCCAAGCAGAATCTCACAGACCTTACTTTCTTACATTTGTGGGGAGTGGGGGCCGTGGTCCTCGAAAAGAACTGTTCAAGCTGCACAATGGAAACGATGTGATCTTGATGGAAGCTCATGAGTTTCGGGAGCAAACGAATGAAACATTTGCCTCGTTGCTACAAAAGTCAGTGTTTGCGGCAACACCCCGTGGGGATAATCGCTATTCCTACCGATTCACCGAAGTGCTGAGCGCTGGTGGTATTCCAGTGGTGCATTCCGATGGATGGGTCTTGCCCTTCAATCCCAAATTGGTGGATTGGACCAAGTGTGCTGTGGTCATTCCCGAGGCTCGGTTCAATGAGACGTTGGACATTCTTCACAGGATACCACGCAATAAACGTTGTCAGATGCGTAGGTATTGCTACGAAATCTACCAAAACTACATGGTGAATGCAGAAGCAAACATTGCTGGTATTTTGGATACACTGGATGCTCTGCATGGCACAAAGTAAGTAAGGGGCTGCCTCAAGATAGATGAAGTCACATTTTCTCGTGTGAAGGGCTGAAAGCCGAATTGAAGACGTCAAGTCAACTACACGCGATGCTTGGGGTGCGCCTCGATCTGATACGGGTATCCCAAACATCCATTATGGGCTACTAGTCACCAACCTGGTAGCTTTATAACCTCTACCCGTGTTGCTCGCATACAAGTAGACGATAGGAGCCAGGAGAAATCAGGTGAAAGAATCTTTGGACCATATCCATAGTGGAGTGCTGTTTGGGGCAATCAAAATAAGCACCACTATCTAGTAGCGCTACCGTAGCTACTGTCGTACAGCTGTACCGTGGTACCATGGTACCATATCTCTGATGTTGTACATGTAGTGTACCGTTGTCGACATGGATGGATGAAGGAAACGCTGTTTGCACCTTAATAAAATTTTCGCCCGACTCGCCACACGTTGAATGGGGGCAGTTTCGATCACAGCAAATCCCGTTCGTTGTCGCCAAAAATGAGGGTCGGGAGTCGTGTTCGCTTCCAGTGCCATTTGTCGTCACAAGGATCCGTTGTTACCCTTGGCTCACAAAGTGGTACTTTATTATTTACAACGCCCGTTTTCTTCTGTTGCTGCGTCAACGCTACCGGTATCATTGACTGAGCCATCAATCAACAATACCGGTACCGGTAGTTACATCATTATCTCGGTAGTAGGAAGCACGAACGATCAATAAACGACAATATCCCTTCTTCCAAAGAACAAAGACATGACAATGATGAGAAGAAAAGTTGGTTCTTCCGCGGTGGTCTGCACCTCTATAATTCTGGCGCTGTCATCTTCCTGTGGCAGTACCACTTCGGTGGTGGACGCCTTGCCATCAGATTCCCTGTGGGACAACAGCTGGCAAAGCAGCAGCACCAGTGCCACACCTCCTCCGTCTCCGTCCTCGCGAGGTGCCTTTGGCTTGCCCGTGGGGACCATTGAAGAAATTCCCGAAGAACCACCAAAGCAAGCGAAAAAGAAACAACAGAACGACGACGATGAGCCATGGCGCAAAAAGGACGACTGGTGGAAGGATCCTCTGGCCATGTTTGGCGATGATGACGAATTATTGGAAGACTACGAGGAAAAAGACAAATCTGGATCTTCCAAAAGTAGCACTACTACTCATGGTGAGAGCAGCCAGCCACAATCCACCAGCCGCGATCCAGTCCAATCAGAGGCAACGAGATTGGAGAAAGAGGCACGAGAACAAGAAAAAGCAGAGATGCTGGCCATGGAAAAAGCAGCACAAGAAAAGGCCGAACGAGAAAAGGCTGGGCAGGAAGTAAGACTTGCCCAAGCAAAGATTGCGCTAGAAGAAAAAGCAGCGAGGGAGAAGGCCGCAAGGGAACAAGACGCCGTAGAATGGGCAGCACAGGAAAAGATTGAAAAAGAAAGGGCTGCCGTGGAAAAGGCAACACGGGAACAAGCTGCTAGGGAAAAGGCTGCTCTGGAAAAGGCTGCCAGGGAACAAGAGGCTCTGGAAAAGGCTGTCCAAGCAAAGCTTGCCAGAGAAAGAGCCGCACAAGAAAGGGCTGCCAAGAGAAAGGCGGCTCAGGAACGAGCTGCTCAGAAGAAGTTTGAAAGAGAAACCGAAGCCAGAGATACTCTGCAGGAACTCAATAAGGGGAATAATGGCGTAGGCATGGCACTTCCAGCTTCCATGTTTGCTTCCGTCATGCCAGCCTTGAAATCTGCTCTATTCCGAGTGCAGATTTTTGCTACACCGGGCAATGCATTGGGGGCTATTGCGGCCCTTACCATTGGCAAGCTTGTGATCGACAAGATTCGAAAACGTCAACCCAAAAACAAGCATCTATCGGAAATGGAAGCCGCAGTAGACGAATATCATAACGAAGTCCTCATGGAGGACACCCTGCAGATGCAATATCAAATGGATGAACTCCGCTACATGGAGGAAGACGAAGAAACAGAAGATACATCCGACGACACAGGTATCGATCTCGATAGCGATGTTGATAGTTCCATCTCCACTTCCCACTCACATCAACATCATCGAGCATCCACCGATACCAACAACAACAACAAGTACAGTGCCAACTCGTCTCCGGCGTTTATCAGTGGCCTTCGTGCGGCTCTCGTCGGTGGACATTCTCGTTCGGACGGTGGTATGCTCGCTACCCTTGGAGGAGGGAGCGGTCGTCGTGTCAAAGTGACAGCTGGTGAACTCGAGTACCTCAAGACAGTAGCCGACAAGGCAGTTTCGGAACGTCAGGTCATGGAGCAAGAGTACGAAAAGACCAGCTTTCAACTTCAGGAGGCACAGAGTGAGGTGACCCAACTGGCATCGACAACCAAGTATCTCAAATCTCAACTCAAAGATTACGAAGAAATGATGGATCGAACGATTCGCAGCGAACGCAAAAAGGCCAAGGTGGAGATCCAAAGGATGAAGGAGGTAATGGAAGCTTCCATCGCACAGGACCGAGAACAGCTTCGCAAGCAATTCACAAAGGAACTTGACCGGCTGCAAGCGCAATACGAAATGGAGCGAAACCGAAAGGAGAATGAGAACCGCATAGCTGTTCTGCAGTCCCAGGATGCACCCAAAGAACAAGGTGAGGCGGGCTCACAAGACGGCCACCTCAAACAACAACAACAACAACAACAACAACAATCCCACACCATGAACAACCAAACAAGTGCCAGCCATGTTCTGAATACGACGGGCGTGAGCCCTGGTGCGAATACCACCGATGCAGGCGTAGACCAAGAGAGCCAACAAGAAGCTTCAGCTTCCAAAAGGAGCAACAGCAAGAAACGCAAAAAGAACCAAAACGACAAATGAATAGCATTCCGTGACGCTAGCTAGCATTCTCGATGCATAGTCAAGGATATGGGGGGTCAAAGGCACGACAATTGATTTGGCACTCTAAAAATACCCGAGTTGTAGTATACTAGAAGGGACGGGGGACATTATAAAAGAGAAGAAGATACCGCAAATGCTATTGTAGAAAGAACCGAAGTGTATTCGATGCTCACTTGAGGGATACATTCACACACCCATGCTAGCTAGGTGCGGCATAATCAATAGTGAAAGAAGTTATTTTTCACCAGCCTTTAGTTAGAAGTTAGAAGCTAGCTAGACTTCGAAACAACCTGTTCAGGGTGAGTCAGTCCACATGTCAAAAGTTCATAAAATCGTGAAATTGATTTAGTTTAGGGAGAGGGAGGATGGAGTGAATGGAGTGAGACTTGCTCAGCGCCTTTAACCGTGAAGCACAGAAATGGTTGCGGGTAACAACTACCGAACCAGGAACACTTGATGCTCTCAATACTTGAAGAGAAATTTTGGAGCTGCTCCCTTTCCATCTTTCTGGAGATCCCATCCAGTACAAGGTGGAAAATCACCATTTTCGTGGCGATTTTTGTAGAATTCAATGTGATCATCTAAGTGTGAATTTGCTTCAGTGTGAATGTCAATGTACCAGTTCAAACCCCCATTGAAAAGCCAGAAGACACATTGGTTGCCATCATAGGAACTTTGCATGGTGTACTTCGGTTTGTCCATCCGAGTTCCATCTCGTGTGTAGACTCCATTAACAGCTTCAGTTCCAGCCCCTTGCACCTTGACTGCAACTGGAACCCCTCTGCAATTGTCAGGTCGTTGAGATACCCAGAGAGATTTCCTAGGTGTTTGGAAAGTTGCTGATGGTGAGAGCTTTTGGAGTGCCAGTGCCTGGATTTTGTATGCTTCACATAGTTGCTCAGGTGAAACCAAACCTGATGAAGCCACAGTTGTTGTCAGATTATCAAGATCAATCTTTTCAAAAGAGATATGCTTGGACAGACAAATGGCTGCTTCCTTCCTCTTCCCGGTGTCACCATCTACCCAAAGGGATAAAATTTGAAACAGTTCATATTCAGTCATTTCCATTTCGGAATCCATAAGCATCTCTTCCAGAACAGTAGTGCTCAAGTTGGCCACATGATTGGCACAAAGTGACTTAGATGGGGTTTTTCGAACCAAAGTTTTGGCCTGTTCAACAAACACCTCTGGCACTGAGTCGCCAGTCATTCTACATGCATGCAGGGCAGAAGGGGACAAGCATGGGTTCTCTTCAAGAAGCATTTTAAAAGATTCAAGGACAAGGTCTTGGAGGCCAGCAAGGTCAAAGTAGGAAGCTGCCTCGGCCAATGATACTAAGCATTCAATCTGTTTTGCAGTGATATCTTCCCCTGCATTTGGTGTGTTTTGTTTTTTGATGTTGAGCACTTTTGCTGTGTCTGTGAGCACAAACTCTACCACTGCCTTAAGGACGATTCCAGAGAATCCAAGCTCTACAACTGGTGATGATGATTCTTGAAACTTGCCCAGCAGCATGCCCATGAAGACATCAGATCTCGCAGCGAGCAAAAAGCGATTGGCTGGCACTTCCACTCCATCGTTTCCCTTGAGAATGATATCATTGAGACTCTCGACTGTCAAGAACCTTTCTAGCATCTCACTGCAAGAATTGCAGCCACCGGTAGTGCGTTGTTGCATCCTATTTATTTATAGTAGATCCAGAGTCCTTTTCCGCCATGGTCTTGTTTTGTGTGGCCTCGCCAAGGACAGAGCAGAGGTGACTGGAGAACGGAACTGCTTGATGGGAACTGTGTTGGGCAGCTGTTCTTTGGTGTCGAAGAATCACTAACGACTCGATTCACTCAGTCGAGTCGCCAAAGAACCTGTAAAGGCCAGCTAGTTTGTCAATCTAAATGCTTAGGCCGTCTCTGGACGGTGGAAGGTACGGTACAGATAGAATGTTTATTTACGGTGCTGGGTACTGTACTAGCTACTAGGAGAGGGAGGTTCGCAACGACGCCATGCACAGGAGGTTCGCTGGGCTACCGGTATGTATCCGTACTGGTAGGTACATACATGTACCTATTTTGCTTCTTTGGTTTTAAAGGCGAGCCAGAACTAATTGATATGCTATTGCGGATTGCGATAGTTGTCATCCTGAATATCCGCTTGCTTGCAACGTTCTGCCCCTGCTCTGAGCCCATCCATGGAGCGAGATTGGAGGAGAAATGTGGTCGCTTGGAAGGTACAGTATCGAGTGGTAGTTTGCTGTCACATTTTCGGACGAAACAGTAAGGAAGCAAGCTTCTACTGTCTCTTCTCTCTACTACAGTACCGCGGAGTCACTCTGAGCTTTTGGAATCAATGCTTCTGCTTTTACCCGCGCTGTATTGAGCTGTTCCCAAAAGTCTTGCACGTTTGTGAAGACTAGATTTTTGCTTTTTTGTTTGTTGTTGGATGTGTGATACACAAGTTGCTGTGAAAAAATGGAGGGATCAAGGCTGATGAACCTTTGAAGCTGACATGCATTCATCCCCACCAGATTCAATCCACCAGACCAAAACTCTACATTGTTCTTGAGCCCATCCATGTCATCAAATGGAGGTAGAAAAAGCCCTTTGCAATGACCTCGATGCCAAGCAAATATCTCTTCCCTGATTCCCATCCAGCCACCCTGATTATTGATGAATTGAGGCGCAATAGTGTTTGGTCTTTCTATCTTGGGCTCGGCATTCTGGCCGACCCAGTATTCTCCAATCACTTTTTCACGTGGGATAAAGGATTGTTCTATGCCGCGCTGGAGAGCAATCCACTCCAGAAAGTTGGCAGACTCTGGCAACTTGTGAATCCCTAAAGCATGGGCTTGTGTTTCCCACAAAAAGATATCTTCCAATTTGGGTTCAAGAATTGATGTGTTGTTCAAACGGCGGATTCCAGATGTGTGGCAACACGAGCGTGGTTCCAGCATCCCTTCTACGTCCTTTTCGGATTGTGGCAATGATGTGGCCGGCTGTGTCCGTCCTACCTGTAATTCTTTTTTATCATCCACCACCTCCACTCGAATGAAACCCGGTACTAGCCGTGCCAATTGAATTTTAGTAAGTTCACCGTAGAACTGATCAATGGGCTTGACATTTTTGGATGATGGGTTATCTCGAATGGGAGTCCTTCGAATGGGAGCATTCTGGCGCAACCAATGGAGCTCCATCGTCATTTCCTCAAAGTAGTTCACATGATCTCCTTTGATGCTACAGTTTAATTAATAGGTCAAGCAGTCAAAAAAAGTGTCAGGAACAAAAGTAAGTAAGATGGTGTTACCAGTAGAAGGGGTTGAGAACTTACAGCATGTCATCCTCAAACGCAACAAACTTGCTGTAGTATCGAAACTTGTCCTTGATGACATATCGATGTTGTCGTGCAAGAGCCCTGGGAATTTCCTGAACGACTTCCTGCTGGCCTGTTTGATTGTTTTTTGTTGCATCAACATCACCCGGCATCAAACCATATCCAAGAGGCGCCGCGTCGTCCCATACTTCAATGCCAACAATGTCTGGCAAACTATCTCTCAACAACTGGAATCGTTCTTGTCGTAACTCGTAGTAGGTAATAAGGTACAAATCCACTTGGTATCCAAAGGAGCGCATCGAAGCACAAGCCTCTTTCACCACTGGAATCAAAATCTCCGTGAATCTATCTCTCCCCTTTTTGGTGTTGCGGTGACCATTGTCAAATTCCGACATGGAAGTGACAATGTACAGCACTCTGGCACCAAATTCATCCTTAAGCCACTGAATATCCGTAGGATCATCCACATAGTCTGGTGGATCAGTATCCTCCATTGTGGGTGCCGGTGTAGGCGGTGGTTGTGGGGTAAAGTGAACAAGGTTTGTCAATGGAACATGATCCTCCAAGAAGTGAAAACACCACAAGATCATTGTGGCCCACATCGCCACAAACCAGAACAACACCCTACGAAAAGGCAACTTCATTCTGCCAATTGTTACTGTCGTTTGCCGTCGCCTATTGCTGTTGTCATTATTAAAGACGTGGGTAGGCGCCATCATGGTGAAGGTTGCAAAAGAAAGTGGAGGAGAAAAATGATGCCGCGAGTGGAGAGCTCAAATTTGAATTGAAGCCAGCGAGAGCTGCTTTTAAACAGGTTTTCCGACCTTAGCACAGCCCAACTTCGCCAGTTGCGACGAGGCTGGAACTTGAAATAATGTATCTTTTTAAAAAAATGCATGTTTATTAGCTTATACAATTGAGGTACCAACATGAACTAAAAAACGAATATGATTGTTTGTCTACTGTAGCCCTCGAGCTTCACTTTTCTCACCAGCAAGTGATGGTGACCGAGGTGCAAAACTCTCTTACTGGCTCAACAGCCCCATCATCGTTTGCGCATCGATTTCCTGGTCAAGGCCTTTGGCTTCCTTGAGGGCAAGACGGAGCGACCACCATACAACAACGGTCCGCGCCATTTTGTTTCCCAACAGTTGCACCAGGGAGTCCCAGTATCTTGTTTGTGAGTGCACTACTTGGGGGGCAACCTCGGTCAACATGAGGACTGCCCCAATAGTTTGCTGTGAGGCATCCAATCCTCCCCACTGCTTCATCTTTTCGGGTACATCAGTATCAGCCCACTCCAAGAGGACTTCGGGCGAATAGATCGAAAACTCTGGTGGGGACACTTTGGCCTCGTCCAAAAAACGGATGAGATTCTTGGAGACGATCCCATAGCCGACGAGTGTCTCCTTACAATAATTGTCAACCCAGTGTTGCAAACGGGCAAGAGCGTTTGCTCTCTCCACACCAGCCAACAGCGCTCCACGAAGATGAGGCGGCAAAGGAGCCTGGGAGATGCCTGCAGCTCCGTCGTCGTTGTTTGGGAACAATGAGGCGGTCAGGCCTGCTTCCAATTTGGTTTCAAAGGAGCTAGACAAGAGAGGAGACATGACACGGCTCATGAACTGTACCATCCCCTTGCTTTCCATGACCTTGGCGGCGGCACGAGGTACGCTGAACATGGCTGTGGACATTTCCTCGCCCAGAATGGCACTGACAACCCTGTTCATGTGAACGAACAGGACAACTACCAACGCGCACTCTGCCCTGGCACCATCGCTCAAGCGAGAAAACCTTCGGTTGCTTCCCGAAGAAGAGTCCGATGAAAGAGCATCCATGTCTTGCTTATTTTCCATGGCGTCAAAGACGAGACCAGCATAGTCCAAGGCCTGCTTGTGGCGCTTTCGCTCTTCCTCCAACCCCTTGCTTTCCTTGGCAGCGGCTGCTTTGTCTTTCGCGTCCGATTTCTGTTTCTTCTTTTGCTGGTAGGTCTCGGCTCTGGTAGCCGCTGCTTGGAGGGCACAGTGTGCGTTGATGCAGATAGGGCAATCATTGCGCGTGCTGATCAAGTTTGCGATTGCTTCTTTCGTGGAGCGGGCCAACTCACCGTCGACCAGCATTGTTTCTCCAATCAAAGACCAAAAGCGGACAAAGACGTCATCGTTGACAGAGTGCAAAGTGATGGGATTGTCCGCGCCCTTGCTCATGACCGAGCCCATTGGGAAGTTTTTCTTTATGGACTTGCGGGTAGCATGGGCAACTTGCGATTCTTGAGGTGCAGGTGAGACGGTCATGGTGGAGAGACGGATTGGTTGAAGGAAAAGGGTATCGAGTGGGGTATCCCAGGCGAGAAAGAAGGCTGAACTGAAATTATTGTGGACTTTTCATGCCCAAGACAGCAACGGCGCAAATTGAGCTTGCCCCTCGCCGGAAGCTTCCGCAGACGACTTCCCTAACTACAATGTCATCATTCTTCGTTTTAAAAGCTGCATGTAGCTCGGGCAGGATCCAGCTTGGCAATACCTGTACCGCTGAAGTCGGATACCGGTACCGGTACTCCATTCAGGGTTCAGGGTGCTGAAACGCTAGCTACGGTACCAGTGCCGGCACCGGCAAAAGTCTCGAGCAGCTTTCGTTCCCAGAAGCGAGTCATTGTGGTCATAAATGCATTTCTTTATTAAATCATACTTTTCGATGGGTGGTACAGCTGACTACCGGTATGACTGTACCCCGCTATGGTACATCAGCGAGAGTTACAGCGTTACAGCCCAGAGCCCAGCCCACCATGTTTCCTCCGAGTTGAGTTGCCCTTTCTATGCTGTAAAGCCCCCACTTCGGATGGGAAGAGATGTAGAAGGACGAAAGTTTCCGTCCCAAAACCTATTCCGAGGCGTTCATCCCGCACTTGTACGGCATCATTGGGATGATAATATTGACATTGACAAGCTCATTGACATTATTGTGTTCCTGCCTGGGAGATTTTGTAACCAAGCGAGTCACTCCGTCTTCACTCCGTCTTCACTCCGTCTTCACTCCGTCTTCACTCCGTCTTCACTCCGTCTTCACTCCGTCTTCACTCCGTCTTCACTCAGTCTTCACTCATCAGACTTCCCACAGTCTTCCGTCAGTCTTCGCCTCGACTTCACCCAGACAATACCGTGGGGTATCGGTAGGTTTATCTCTACCAGAGGGGGTTTACTTCTCCTGGTTGGTTGCTCTACTCGAGTACTGCTTGAACCATTCCTTTCCTTGGTTGCCTGGCAAACAAGATCTTTTGGGATGTATGTTGCTCTACATGCTCGGATCCTAGTATAACTTCAGAGTGGCAGTGAGGGAAGCACAACCAAGTAAGTTGCAAGTTGTGGTGAAGATTGATTGCTTCAAGTTGGGCCAGCTTGATGTACCATCCCTTGTTGCGCGGGACAGGAACTCGGTGTGAAGAGGCCTCTGAGGTACAGTGTAGCTCCAATGCCACGAGGATGCTTGCGTGTTTGCTAATACGTTTTTAAAACACCACCGATATTACACTTTCATGTCGCATACAAAGCCATGATTCTACTTGACAACCTAGTTTGCCAGAAGGGAGGACATGACAATGTTTGGGTCCGCTTGAAGGAGCTGATAGACTGTATTCAATTCATCGGCTTCTTTCTTGGAGGCCACCTCGTTCTTTTCAGGCCCCCACCGAGCTTTCTTCTCCGAACGCAATTTCAACTTGGATTTCCACCATTTGCCACGGATCCTCTTCTTGGAGTTGGGTGCTGTAGCAGTAGTCTCAGCCCTCAATACGAGTGATCGACTCGAAATGGCAGGCCACGGAGCGGCTCGAAACAGCGTCTCCAACACACCAGTCCATGAATACCCACTTGCACAGGCCAAGTGAAACGGGCAGTTGCCTTCGGCATCCTCGACGGCAAACACGGAATGTGGGCTTACTTCCATTATGCCATCGAACGTATCTAGCCGCAGTCGGGCACAATTATCCTTTGTAGGATCGACCAAGTCCGTCTCAGGAGTACAGGGTGGGGTGCACTTGGTGGCGGCAATGATGTGGAGTGGAAACCGCTTCAAGACGGGTCCTTCTTGTGCAGCTTGGTCTCCGTGCAAGCTTAGGATTCTCTCCCAGACAATACGGAATCTGCTGCGGTGGGTTCCTCTCTGTTGGAAGCGTGGAAGGATGCCAGCCGCTGCGTGCATCAAGAACCGATCACTTCTCTCTTGCTTCAGTTTTGAAAGGGAGATCCCGTTCGAAAGATAGAATGCTCCCTTGACAAGAAAGCATATGGTGTTCCACATTTCTTTGTCGTCCTTGGAGAGGGTCTTCTCAAGGATCATACCCGAGCTGTCAACGTGGTACGGGTTGTCGTACACTAGAGCCTTCCACATGTAGGATACGTTTTCGATAGCCGCCATCCATATCTTTAGCGCCTTGTCGTTGGAAAGTTCGCCAATAGAATCGTTTTCGACCATGGCGACAATGAGTTCGTACTCTGGTGACTCCAAGAACTCGTCCCAAATCACTTCAAGCGGCACTATTTCTTGGCCTCCTGCGCGTTGTCTGACCCAGACATTGGCAAACAGAATGGAAAGCAGGATCATTTATACGTAGATCTCGGTAGGCAGGCAGTTGATACGAGCAGCAGGGATCTTTGCAAACGTTCGCGATTGTAATTTGTGGGCCTATGGTGCAGGTAGGCAACTGACCGTGCTGGTTTGAAGGATCCCCAAACGATGTCGTTGGTTTCCGTTTCAATTCGAAAACGACCCTCCGATGTTGTCATCTCAAGTCGGTCTACCGGTGCGGTAAGGAGATCGTTTCAAGACAACTGTCTCCAACCAAGCTTTGTTATTCTTGTAGCGTGCTGTTTGAGTGACAGTCGTCACCCATCTCCCAAGCTGTGGGTCTTCTTCCCACCGTTGATAGACCATGCAATCCACACGTTTCGCCTTGAAAGCACACAATCGTTCAAACATCAACTCCGGGTACCCGTACCGGTATGCATACCGGTGGCGGTGTTTCAGACTGCTACATATCAGTGAAGCTTCCGGTAACCCAAACCCCTGGTTATCCATGGATGGGATGGGGCGTACCGGTACCAGTACCATCAACTCGTCACTGATTCTGACGACTACAGCGGGAGTGCAAGTCAATTTGCCGGAACATCTCCACACCACAAATTCAAGTGTGACGTTCTCGAGAACTTTTCTTTTCTCACACCTTTTGCAACTGCATCCACAAGTACATGTATCCAATACAAGAGGAAGAAAGAATCTCCATACTGCCCTACGGTATTACTAAAACATCTGCTCTGGCTAGCTAGCCATTAGAAGAACATTGCAAGTTCAGCAAGGACAGCTGCAAGGACCACGTTTGCAAAAGCAGGAGTGTTGGTGCAGATTTTGCATTTTGGTATCTCAAGGGATCTTCTATCTCCTGGATCCATTTTTTAATATAAGAAGTAACTCTTGTGCCTAGTTGTAAACCATGGCGAAATTGACGTTTGTTTTCTGGCTACTTGCCATTGGCAATGCCAGTGCTGCAATTGGTCCTAATCAAAGGGGAGGATTTTCCTTGCAACCATTCTTGACCAAATATCGAGGTGGCGCTGTGGAGAAGAAGCAAGCACCCAGCAAGGCTCCTGAAAGTGTGACAAGCCAGAAGATTGCCCCATTGTCGCAAAAGGCGACCTTGACAGAAAAAGAAGCACTATTGGTAGCAGATATTGAGCTTTTGAGTAAGATCTTGTCCGAAACAGTGCAGAGAGGAAGTCCCAAAGTGCATGACTTGTATGAAGAGTTCCGCAAATATGGTTTGACGCGGTAAGTCTACAATGAAACAAAATTCTAGCCAAATATGAGGCTGATCAGGAATGTAGTTATAACAATTCTCACACAGACTTCCTTGCAATTTTATGCAAAATATTCCCTCATCAGTGCTGCGGATGTCAATGATGATGCAGCCTTGGAGAAAATGATTGAAGAGGCCAAAAAATTGACGGCTCAAGAAGCTTTGGGTGTTATGCGAATGTTTGCCATGGCCTTGAACTTGGTCAATGCTGCCGAAGTCCAGGATCGGCTGCGCAATATTCGCGACTTTGCTCGCGAAAGTGATGATTCTTCGGGTCCACTTCCAATTATTGAGGATAGCATGCGAGGAACCATGGATGTTCTGCTTAATACCAATGCAGCCACCAAACAAGAAATCTTCCAACAGCTCTTGAAGCAAAAGGTTGAAATTGTATTGACGGCCCACCCAACGGAAGTGGCTCGTCGATCTATGCTTCGCAAATACCGTCGTGTGGCAGAAATCCTGGCCATGTTGAAACGACCGGACTTGCACAAGTACGAAAAGGACCAGGAAATTAGCAATCTACGCCGAATCATCTCCTCTGCCTGGGGAGCCGATGAAATTCGTCGTGTCAAACCGACACCTCAACAAGAAGCTTCGGGAGGGATTGCCATTCTGGAGTCGGTCTTGTGGGATGCCGTGCCTGCCTACCTGCGAAAGCTAGATGCCCAATGCCAAATTACATTGGGCAAGGCACTCCCGGTGGACGCCTGCCCCATCAAATTTGCATCTTGGATTGGTGGTGACCGTGATGGAAATCCGAATGTGACACCAGAGGTGACTCAAGAAGTTGTATTGACCCAACGACTTCGAGCAGCTCGGCTTTTTCTGGGAGACCTGTTCACTTTGCAATCGGAATTGGCCCTCTCGTCGGCTTTCTCGGATGAAATGAACGAATACGCAGACACACTCGAGGTCGGAGTGCACAAAAAGGAAAAATACCGAAGGGTGATTCTTCATTTGATTAAACGTCTTGTCAAGACAGCACGGGAATGCGAAAAACAATTGGCAGCCATGTCATCCAGCGAGACATTCACTCGCCCTCAAATTGATCAAACCGTCACTGGCTGGGAAGATGTGGAACCAATCTATGAAGCAGAAGAGCTGATGGAACCTCTCCGTATCATGCACGATTCATTGAAGAGCACTGGGTTTGAGTTGGTGGCCAATGGCAGGATCTTGGACATTATTCGCCGTGTAAACGTCTTTGGTTTGACCTTGGTGCCCTTGGATATTCGGGAAGAAAGCACCAAGCACACAGAGGCGTTGGATGCCATCACGCGTTGGCTTGGCGTGGGGTCCTACAAAGAATGGAGCGAAGAGGCGAGATTGAACTTTCTCCAGTCCGAATTGTCCAACAAACGACCCTTCTTCCGTATTCGCGACCTTGACTTGCTTGGATTCGACGACGGTGTGAGGAAGACTCTGAGGACATTTTTCACTGCTTCAACCTTGAAGCCCAGCTCTCTTGGAGCATACGTGATTAGTCAGGCACAGACCGCCAGTGATGTTTTGGCCGTCATGTTGCTGCAGAAACAAGTTGGCATGACTCCAGATCGAGGAAGTATGATGCGCGTGGTTCCTTTATTTGAAACTCTGGATGATCTTGAAAACGCCGCCAAGGTCCTTGATACCCTCTTTTCCATCCCGACCTATGCAGGAGCAATCAAGGGAAAGCAAGAAGTCATGGTCGGATACAGTGACAGTGCCAAGGATGCAGGTAGACTTGCTGCGTCATGGGCGCTATACAACGATCAGGAAGAGATGGCAGCAATGGCCAGGAAGCATGGTATCGAACTCACCTTTTTCCACGGCAAAGGAGGAACCGTGGGTCGTGGTGGCAACCCAGCACTCTATCGAGGTATCCTTTCGCATCCGCCAAATGTAAGTATTCTGCGTTTTTACGAGCGACTCGAGTGGTTTTTGGGACTGTCACTCATCTCCTTGCGCGATCACGGCGAAATCTTTTAGACCATCAATGGACGTTTCCGTGTCACGGAGCAAGGAGAGATGATCACTCAGAACTTTGGAAACCCTAACATTGCTGAACACACCCTTGACATCTACACAGCAGCTGTCTGTCGTGAAGCTTTCACAAAGCACGTCGAACCATCCAAGAAGTGGCGTGAGCAGATGGATCGAGTTTCGGCAAGCTCTTGCGCTGATTACAGGCAATTGGTGCGAGGTGAACCCCGGTTCGTGCCCTACTTTCGACAGGCAACCCCGGAACTAGAGCTAGGCAGTTTGAACATTGGTAGTCGTCCCTCGAAGCGCAACCCTAAGGGCGGAATCGAATCTCTCAGAGCAATTCCATGGACATTTGCGTGGACACAAACAAGAACACATTTGTCTGCATGGCTTGGAGTCGGCGCCGGGTTAAATGTGAAGGTATGTTGTAGTCCGTGGAACCCGTGAAAGTGACATCGGCGATGGATTCTCAAAGCGTCCTGTTGGATTCTTGTTGACATCAGGACCAGGCTGAGATGGAGACCTTGCAGGAGATGTACAGCAGCTGGCCATGGTTTCGTGAGACCGTTGATTTGATCTCCATGATCGTGTCCAAGACTGATTTCTCTATTTCGAAAAACTACGATGATATGCTCGTTGATAAGTCTGGGGGTTTGATGCGACTCGGCGAGGAAGTTCGAGAGAAGCTGGTCGAGACTCGTAAGGCTGTGCTCGACGTGACCAAGACCAATGCTGTTGGTGGGGCACATGTAGCTTTGCTTCGAGCGTCTTCCACCATTCGACACCCGTACGTTGACCCGGTCAACGTGATTCAAGCGGAGTTGTTGAAGAGGTATCGTGCTATGGACAAGCGAGAAGATTTGTCCCCTGAAGAGGAAGAGGAGAAGAATGTGCTGAGAGACGCATTGATCATGTCAATCAACGGAATCGCACAGGGAATGAGGAACAGCGGATAAACTATCTATTGACTGGGTCGAATGTTCAATCAGGGCATAGGTGGAGCATAAAATCCTGTAACTTGGTTGTCTCATTTCTCTTGATGCATTCATTAGATTGCCTCTCAGCAGCCATACAAACGAACTGGTTTTCGTAGTGTTCAACAACTACCGGTGAACATTGACGTTGGTTCAATTGGTTGTCGTTCAGCAGAGCACAAATCCAGCACTCCAAGGTTCAGCCCTGTTTTTCAATTGGTGAAACTCTTCCTGGCAAGCTAGCTAGTTAGTGACAGAAGCACCCCCTGTGCCAACGTGTCTTGTCGCCTTTGTGTCATGAGCAATCTTGGTCAGCCAAGCATCATCTAGGACATGCCCTGCCCAGGGCTCAAAGTTTCGTCCAGCCTGTACAAACTCAAAGTGCATTGCTGTGGCATTCTCGACCGTCACTCGACCGTAGCCATATACACCTGGTATGTACTTCTTTGTCCAGACAGTGTCAAACACGGTATTGTTCTCCATACGAGCACCTGCTGAACCCACAGTGATATGCAAAGGTCCGCCATTGTTACACTTGTTTTTGTAGAGCCCCTGGCAGGTCCGTAGGTATGCATGGTAGTGCCCTCCCAGCACCAAGTCGACGTTGTATTTCAACAGGAGTTCTTCCAATTCTACCCTTAGTTCCACTCCAACCCTGTAGTCCTTTGTGTCAAGCTCAGCCTCATAGAAGGGTCGATGAATCTCCAGAATAACCCATGGAAGCAAGGATCTATCCACAGATTTTAAGTCCTGTTCCAACCAGAGATGCTGAATGGATCCTGGTGCCAAGTCGTGCTCTGAAGACAGCATGATGGTATGAACATTGGCCATGTTGTAAGAGTACCAAAACACCCCATTGCTTCCTTTGCTGCGTGGCATCGTGAATTGATTGGCAGTGGGGACACCACATTCTCCAAAGGAATCATGGCCAAAGTTACCCCAATAGGGATGATACCCGGCAGATGAATTGACTCCGGATGGATCCTTGCCACCGCTGCCTCCCTCTGTGTGATCATACTCATGGTTGCCCACTCCAATCATGAGTGGTACATGAGGTGTGAAAGAGGAGATCATGTGGAACCATTCATCCCACACATGCGCCACTCCCACTGCATAGCTCAAGTCTCCAAAGTGATGAACCGCGCGAATTGGACGGCTGCCATGTAATTCTCGGGCAGCCATGGCCGAAGTCCAAACTCCACCATCTCCCCAACCCAATGCAGGGCAGCCTTGATCACCATAGACCAGAAACGAAAACGGAGGGGAGTCACCCGCTACAACTGGAGCAGATTGGAATGAGTACGTGTCCGACCAGGTGATCTCTTGGTGGAACTCTTGGTTGTCATCTTGGGCTGCTTCTTCCAGTCCCACACGATATTGATATGTCATGTTGGGAGCCAACTCTTGCAGTCTCACAACATGCATGATACCAGGTGGCTGATATTTTCCTGGTTCTCGCCGAGTGGCTGGTTCTTGGCACATGTCCTCGTTCGTGTAGGTATGACTCTGGCCCTTTGCAGTGTGATCCAAGGAATCGATTCCATACTGCACTACCGGTGTGCCATTCAGGTACCCGGTAGTGAATTGAACCACCATTTCATCCAGGGTATCGCCAAAGGCAATATGAATGGCCGTAGGGGTCTTGTGGGCATCGACAAGATACAAATCATTGGATGTGGCCAAATGATCATACTGGTAAATTGCAGCTGTTCCTTTTTTCTGACGCGAAGGTGCCTTATCGTAAAGAGAAAACTGGCACGTGTCACGCCGCAGGATGGGAAAGCTTGGAAAGTACCAGGAGTTGTTTTCGTCGCGAACACTCTCGATACCATGGGGTGAGTGCCTCTGAGAGGTCGCTCTTGCTTGTGCAATGGTGGCAATTTCCAATATTTCATCGTCGCAGACTAGAACCAGGATATCATTGTCCGTCACGATACCCTTTGTGTCGGCCCATCGAATCTTGACGGAATCTCTGGCATGAATATGGGTGCGATCCCATTCGAGGTGGATACCATTCTCCTTATTCTCTGCGTTCTCATGATCTAGGACAACGTCACGTGCTTTCAAGATTTCATAGAGCGGATTCTCCAAGGCATTCAGGTAGTTTCCACTGATAGGATCCACCACGGACAGAATGGTGGGAAGCGTGTGTGCCGAGGTGGTAGGATCACCCCTTGTCCTCGTCTGAATGACGTTTGATACAACACCAAAATCCTGAACCGATTGCCATCGGCCAACAAGGAGGATAGCAACGAACCAACCAAGAATCAGGCGAAGGCTCCTGAAGATGCCATGTTTGTAGAGCGTGCTCTCGTTGCAGCGAGCGGAGGATGGGTTGCTGTCGTCGAACAACATCTTCATGGCAGACAACAAAGGACCCCGGGCGGAAGGAAGAAGAAAACTGAGAGCGCAACTCCACACAGAAGTTGATTGGTAATGTGGAGAAGAACCGAAAGAGATCGAGGAGGAATATTCCGAAATGGGTCCTTTAAAAGACATGATTTGAAAACATTTCGGATTTTGGTAGTCAGAATTCGGTTATTTCGGGCGAATCTTTCGAATCGAATCTTTCTTCCTCAGAAAAATCCATGTTGCGCGCAGCGCAACAAGTTGCGCGGCGAGCTCCGCAAAGCGGAGAATGATGAGAACACCAGTATACAGGATGACTTCTTTCACCCCTGACAGGTGTCAAAATGAATTCTCGTTTTGGCCAAACCAAAATCGGAAGCGGTCATTTCTGACAAAAAAGGTCATTTCGCGAATCCTGCATAGCAATGACTACTTCCTAGAAAGAAAAGATTGAAGAAAATAAAATGCATTTTACCACCATGGCAACAGTGTTGACCAAATGGCTATTAGCTTTACCAATACATTGATCTGATTGACTCTTTGCTAGCAGTAGCTCCCCAACACACTCACAGGCACTCTCCTTGAAAAGAGTCAATCAACTCCAAGGTTTTCCATGGAGCCTCTATGAAAAACCAGGCTTGGATTCCATTTTGTTGTCATTCTACCTTGGATTTCTCTATGGGGAAAGGTGATCCTGTCCTCACTCTCAGCACTCAATCTGCACTGTAGAGTATGGTAGAGGAGTGGGTGGCCTTGCATGAAGACTGGAGCACCCATCCCAAAGGTTCAAAGGAGAATTGTTGACTTGATGGCATAAAAATGGAGCAGATTTCATGCCAGTCAACCAGTCAAGACAGTAGTAGAGAAGCTGCTGCTTGTTGATTTCGTAGTAGCAATAGCAAAGACTTCATGGCCGCTACTCGTAAAAGGCGTGCATCATGGTTGGTTGCTCCGTAAAAGAGGCTCCACCGATCGATTCGATCAATCTGCCGAACGGAAGAAGCAGGTTGTTTCCAGTCGCCATTGTCGAGGGGTCGCTTGTTGCAATAGTAGTAGTCGCTTGTTGTTGCGGTAGAGGCGTCATGGTCGCTCCGTTTGCTCGCTCCGGTGTCATGGTCGCTCCGTGGAAGAAGAAAGAAGTCATCAACCGAATCGATCGGCCGATCGATCGAACGGCTGCCGCTGCCGCTAGCCAACCAAGAGGAGCCTGTCATGGTGGAGATGTCTACAAGAGGAGTAGCCGCTGTAAAGAGGAAGGAGATAGTACCATCTTGATAGAGTCAATAGAGAGTAAAGATAGAGGTATGGATCGAAATAATAAAAGAAGAAGAGGTGTACGAGTGGCTTGGATCGATCCGAGTGATGTCAGTGGAGCTTAAGGTTAAGGCTATATGTCCCTTAAGTCTTTTCACGGAACGTTCCTGGAAGTTCCGGTTCGCATGCGAATGTCGTACCGGGAGCGGGCTTGCGTTTGTCTCGATAGTTTAGATTCAGCCTGTACCGCTCTGTCAACAACAAGAAATCAGCCCAACAGAATATGGATACTGTTGCACAGCAAGCACAGCAGCGGCACAGCATTCCGCACAGCAGCAGCGGCACATCGCACATCATTGGCATGACAATCGCCCCCCTTTCAGTCTATCAGAAGGAATGATACCATACAAAAACAGCAACAATAGTGCCATTCTGAATTCAGGTCAGCAGAGCTCTTGGGTTGGGTGTCCCATCTCCGCATTTTCAAGCCTTTTTTGTGGTACTGACCTACTTACGTCTACCCTTTTTCCAGCTGAACTGGGAAAAAGTTGGTCTCTAATTGGGATGCATGATGATTGGATTCGATTCATGACATCATCACTTCCGGATTCATCATTGATGTTGCAACCGAGACCTGAAATGCACATCAACCGATCAACCGCTTGCAGCAATGCGTTCATCACCATGTCGCTTGCTGTTGTTGCCGCTCTTGAATCTACCCTCATTGGACATCGATATATAATTACGAAAGCACTCATGGCTCCATGGCGACAGTTGCACTTGAGATGCACACTGCTTGCAACGGCAGATAAAGCACAGCAATCCGAGTTATCCTCATTGTGATATAATCTTTGGCTTTGGCTGATCAGATAATGCGATTGGATAAGATACGCTACCACCACTTCAGGCAGGAGCGAAGCGTTGGACCACTCTTTGATTGAGCATGCAAGTCGCGTGGGGATGGCTCTGTATCCAAGCTTGATTGACCGAAAAAGAATCGAATCCTTGCACCTACATATACTCTGCAGCTACATGTACCGTATCAAGCCTCAGTCAATCGGATCGTCTCTGGTCCAGAAGTGAAAGTCATCCTCATTGAAATCATGCCAGCTCGGGAAGGTTTTCTTTTCTCGGCCCATGTCAGTCAAGTTGGTGAATTTTGAAGAGCAAGGGTAAGTCGCTGGTTTTCTTGGTTACCGGCTCGCACATGTACTGTGCTATATGATAGCGTAGATCATAACTCAATTAGTAACATAGAATATACTATCCAATTATACAATTATACAATTATACAATAATCATTTCATTTGGAGTGACCGTATCCATGGGAATGCCATTGAATATTCTATTGATGATGATGAGAGTGGAGATTTGTAATATGGGTTTCATTTGGTTGATTTACTGTTTTGCGTCACGATATGAGTCGGCTTTTGGCTGATCTGCGAGAACAATCAGTGACCTCCTTCTGTGCTACCTGATTCTGCCCACGTGTCAGCTATGAATGCGTTCATGCCGATGGCCCATGCAGATGCAATGTACTTGTATTGTGGTGTTGTGTCTGTTGCCGTTGCGTTGATGATGCTGGGAAAGATGGCTTCGAAAGATACAGCATACTGGTACTGTAGCACTAAGAAGGGGGTTACAGCACTAATGTTTGCGACAGACTAGGGGTAGGGGTTTTGAAACACTCCAATCCTGCACAGCGCAACATGGGTGGCGTGCACCAAAAAGCTTCTGAAATGCGAATGAACTGATGCCAAGCTACTCCTTGCATCACCACCGGAATTTTCCAGTCCTGTAGAGCTGTGTACACGTGCTACTACAAAAGTTCAATTTGTTGATGTGAAAAGCACTTGGGAATGACATGGATGAACTCAACAAATATAGCACCTACACAACCAAGTTAAATATATAAAGATATCTACATTCCTTGCTTGTCGCAGCCATGTGCTGGTTATAGTGGTTGCAGCCATGTAGCAGGCATTATCTTATGTCAAACTAGAATAAAATGGTCCAAAATGATTGCCCTACTTTGCCAGCCATTCGTTGCTCCCATGACCCTCAAATGGGAAAGCGGTTATCACCACTGCGACGGGCATGTCAAAATTAAGTATCCCTTATCTCAAAGTATGGTGAGGTTGACTCTATCGGTCAAACTGCTGGGGTTACCTTTCAGCATGAGAGGATGTGTCCAAAAGTGAGTTTCTTCAAAATGTGAGGTTGTTGGCCAGAGCGGGCCCGTTTTCCGGTGGTGGTGCTTTTTCCGGTGGTGATGCAAGGAGTAGTGTAGTGTGCAGTACTATTATTACAGTACTCCAGTATAGTGCATTGGGCAAGGATGGAACCACCTTCAGCAGCCCAAATAATGCATGATGAGGAAGAGTTGATGGACATTGTTGCTGGCAGAAGCCGGGGGGGCACTAGAGAGGCGGAGCTCAGAAAGCTGGAAATGTTTGAACTGGAAAGAATGCAACAGAGAGAATACGAGCAATCAAAGCAAGAGGAAATCCATCCCAGTACACCAGGCGACACCTCCACGGGAGACGAAATCACCGAAGAACTAAAGGAAGATGATGTCTCTACGTCGAAGGTGGTACAAGATCAAATGTTTATAACGAATCATCCTCAAGTTACCAGCAAAACTCCGTCAGCAGAAGCTGGTCCAGAGGAAGTGCAACCAAGGTTGACTTGTGTACAAAATCAGCCAGGTGTGGCTACCATGCATCCAGGAGCGTATGCAGTGGCCCCTGGGAACCCAAGCAATGAAAGTACGGCACATGACCAAGCCACCACTCCAAGGGATGATATGGATGGATTGGCAGTGGCGAACCGGGTTGAAGATAATGAAGAACCTGCACAGATTGCAAGACCTGACCATTTGCATGGGGAAAATGAATCAACCTCTATGAGTGTCATGATCCTTGTTGTCATTGTTAGCATTCTCATCATTGGAGTGATTATTGTTGGTTCCGTCTGTGGGGCTGGTCTCTGCAGCAAAAAAGGAGGTGATGTGGAGACTCAGGCTCCCACTTCCTTTCGATATTTTGTTTTGGAGGACATTCAAAACAGAATCGAAGAGGCTTTTGGACCTGACTATTTTCCCAAGAATGATAAGCAAGAACCCACCCAGCCAAAGTTCAAGGCTCTTGATTGGATCGTGTTTGAGGATCCTCTACAGCTCGACACAGATGCCAACAATCTTCTACAAAGGTTCATCTTGTCATTAACTTACTTTCAAACATCCCGGGAGGGTGATTGGCTTGCCTGTGGACCATCTTCAACCCCAAACGATGAAACATGTTGGTTTCAAATCCAAGGTTCGGATTCATTGGCAAGTAGGTGGCTCACAGGTGTTCACGAATGTCAATGGGCGGGAATTTTTTGTGACGGAGAGAAGAGCATTACTCAGTTGCTGCTCAGTGAGTTGTTTTCTATTTTTGCTGACGGCACGAAACAGAGTGCACGTTTCCTGTACTCATCCTTAGCTTGCTTTCAATATCAGGGGAAAATGGATTGAACGGCCCTCTGCCAACAGAATTTGCAGGTCTCCCAGCACTGGAAAAAATATCGTTTGATTGGAACCAACTGACAGGCACAGTTTCAAGCATATATGGCAGCTTCTTTTCCCTTTCTTTACTGCGGCTAGGCCACAACCAACTGTCTGGAAGTATTCCTGTGGAATTGTTTGGAAACAAGCTCTCCACATTATTTTTATTCAACAATTCATTAACAGGCACAGTGCCCACAGAAATTGGACTCTTTGATGGGACTGGTCTTGCATTTGATTCAAACAGCATGTCCGGTTCCCTTCCTACAGAGCTCTTTCAGGCTGGCAAAGGAATCCATTCGCTTCATTTCAATGACAATAAGGTATGACAACCTTTCCTTGGGAAAAGAACGTCAGTGATCTTCAACTTTTGGTCAAGACCCTTAACTGTGATTGGCGGCTCACCCTTTCTCTTTCCTTGCTTTGTAGCTTACAGGAACTCTACCCACTGAAATTGGAGTATTGAATGTACATCGTGAACTCTATGTCCATTTGCAAGGGAACCCTTTACGCGGAACCATCCAATCCGAAATAGGGCTATTGAAAGGCACTCTCCGTCAACTTGATATAAGTTGGACCAATATGGATGGCTCCCTACCAGAGGAACTCTTCGCCAGTTGTACCAACTTATCTTCTCTTAAGGCTTCCAACTGTGGCTTGACTGGCACCATAAGCAGTGGACTGCAGCTTTTGACAAGGCTAGAAACCTTTGACATTTCCAACAACAAATTCCACGGCACCATCCCAACAGAGCTTCCCTCTCTGAAAGAATTACGTCAGTTTATTGTGAATGGGAATGATCTTTCTGGTTCTATTCCATCGTCTGTCTGCACTCTGGCAGACCCTCTCAAGGGCACATTTGAAGTGGCAGCTGACTGTTTGCCAAGGGATGGCACAGGCGAACCCTTGGTAGAGTGCTCTTGTTGCACTCTGTGTTGTGATGCTTCTGACTACTGCCTGACACAGTAGGGTTTCAGCGATAGCCTTGGGATAGAGTGGCTCGAGGTTTGTCCCGGAGACTGCAGCATGCAAAGAGAGATATGCTATTGCTCCCAAGATGTTCATGACCTCAGTTTTTAAAAAAGGGCCGCGATTTGGATTCGATTCTTTCATTCTGACTTTGCAAATATGTACGGCTAGACTGGCCACCGATCATAGATAGTACATGCAGCATATTTCCCCACAATTCTACTTGCACTGAACTGCTTCTCCTTGGTCACCCCCAGCCACAGCCTATTTGTTTCCTACTATACCAAATGTACCGTATGCCTCCTCGTGATGATGGGATGCGTCTAGCTACCGTCAGCATCAAGCTCCGGAGCGGCTTTACAGTACTAGCTACATGTAGTAGGTTTTGTGGCGAGCTGGAGTGGTGGGCTGCGCGTTTTTTCCTTCATGTGAGGGGAACAGCCCCATACCACATTCGGTCATTTGCCAGTCACAAAGGAACAGCAGGAACTTCCAGCCATTTTTACCTGTTCTGACGATCATTCTGACCTCTGACTCGACTCACCCCACTGACCACCGACACTCATGCACTCATCGATCACTCCACCATAATAACATACATGCATCCAAAGGAGGGCCAACCCGCACAGTTATCAAGTATTTACAATTAATTAGAAAACGCAGTCGAACCATGACGACAATGGTGACAGTCCGGTTGCTGTGTCTGCTGCTGATGGCATCCTCTGGTTCGGCCGCGATTCCTTTGTTGAATGGTCTTGTCTCTTCTCATCATCATCATCACATTCAACGACAGTTGAACAGTGACAACAGCAGCAGCAGCCACAACCCTGATAACACTTCGAGTAGTAGTTTTCCTAATGACGAGGAGGAAGTAGAAGAAGACTTGCAGAAGAAGAACAAGACGAAGACAAAAGCGCTCAAGATTTGCAACGTATTGGGGGGATTGGATTTGACCCGCCTGCGATCCTCTGCCACCCGCAATCTCTTCAGCAGTGCCATTGACGATGTGGAACTGATTCGCGAGTACTTTTCCGAAGCCGTTGGCAATGGTGGTCTCCGCGATGGCATGTCCCAATTGGACGCTTTGGAGGCAAGTTTGGATTGGCAAGCCCGGAATACTTCTACACACGCGTCAACGGTGGACGCTGGATTGGGTTACAGCGATGACCGACGCGACCGTAGAATTGATCGCTTGGTGAGCAACAGTACCAACGGTCCCTTTATTGGCGACAAACAAGCCGATGCCATCATGATGGATGTCGTGTCCAACATTTTGCCGTGGATTGTCGATCGCAAAACGAATGAACACTTGTGGACCATGACACATCAGAATGGACGCAGTCAAGCACCGGGCATGGAACCACTCGTCTTTGAATCACTCTACATGGCGGGATATGTACTCAGTTGGGCCGATTCTATTTGGTACTACCCGCCTCTGTCGGTATATGGACATCCCTTTTCCATTGCCGATGTCTTGGGAGGAAACTTTGACAGTCACGGGATTGTCACGGGGGCGGGCTTTTTGCCAGATGAAAATCCACACCATTTGAGTGCCTTTTACGGACCGTACCCTGATATTGGCGTGCCGGGACTGGCCATTATCACGGCCACCACACCCATCTACTACACGGGGCCATTGACGTATTATGACGATACCACGTCCACCACAACAACCTACTGGTACAACGATACGTATATTGCCCATGCCGGATTGGATATTCCCATGGATTCCGTCTCGGTATTGCTCGAAGACTTGCAAGACACACTTGCCGAAGGTAGCTTTGCCCTCTTGACCAATACCACTCTGTCGCCCATTGCCATTTCTCAATCGGTCGTCGAAAAGATTTATCCCGCACGCACGGGATGGGAAGAGTCTCGTGTCACGTATCAACTCGCCGATGGATCCATTGTCGACGATCGACGCAATCAAACCTATCTCGTGTCGGATACATTACATCAATCCCTCACCAATGTCACTACTACGGCCAATTGGACGGCATTGGCCAATGAAATTGCCAATGTGCCACGAGGGGGTCGTGGCTACATGGTTCTCAATCTGACACTTGCTAACGACAACGACAATAAACCCGTGCCGTACTATGTCATGTTTGATCGGTGGCAGTACGTGTCCGATTGGGTCTTGTTGGTACTGGTACCCGTCGAACAAGTCGACAAGGCCGTCGATGTGGTCTTTTCCCAACCGACTGTCGAAGCACAAGTCAAGGCAGGACAAGATGCCACCATTTCCCTGCGCTTGACCAATCGGGGGACACTCGATGTGCAAGTGGCGCCGTCCGCATGCCCGGAATGGCTCGAGTTTACTACTAATCACACGTTGAATGCTCGTCAAACACTGGGGCCCGGTGACGAAATCCAAATCACTGCCATTTTGAAGAGTGACGGACTCGATGTGGGGACTTCTGTTTCCACCGTGTCGTTTCGAGTGGTGGACGACGGGTACAACGACTGCTTTTACGATCGGGATGTCTCCTTTGACGCCACGCTCAAAGTGCATCCACTACAAATCAACCACAATTACATTGGAACGGCCGCCATTGCGGGGTACATTTTCTTTTGGATTGTGGCGGGGACGGCATTGGGATGTATGGGGTGGACCATTTACTATTGGAATCATAGGGTTGTGCGAGGCAGTCAGCCTCGATTCTTGATGATGCTGGGGGTTGGGACTCTCATTATGAGTTCCTCCATTCTGGTCTTTGGTATCGATGATAACAATGCATCGGAGGAAGAGGCGGACAAGGCGTGTATGGCATCTGCATGGCTTGCAAGTATAGGTTTTATCATTTGTTTCTCGGCGATATTCAGTAAGGTGAGTGAGAAGAATGGAATGTGCCATGTCATTGCACGATATCAGTACAAGGCGCGTCTCTCATCCATCTCATATGCTTTCCCATTGGCAACACGAAGATTTGGCGCATCAACAAAATCTTCCGAAATAAAGAGTAAGTTACTTCTGTAGGAGGGAGACGTCGAAGGACGACGAATATTGTCATGACCAGCACATGCCCACAATAGCCCTCATTCTTCCTTGCACGTCTTCGCTCGCTTCTCAGAATCCAGAGAATCACTGCTACTCAGCAGGACGTATTGGTCCCCTTTGCAATACTATTTACAATCAACTTTATACTGCTATTGTCCTGGACCTTGGTCGACCCACTCCGTTTTGAAAGGGTAAAGGTTGACTCGAGTAGTCCGTTCAGTGACACGCACGGTGTGTGTCGTTTTGAGAACGATGAAACAATCGGCTTTGCTGTCACAATTGTTGTTGTGAACTTTTTGGCAATCTTACTGGCCTGCTTTGAAGCCTACCGGGCCCGTAAAATCGGAGATGAGTTCAGCGAATCCAAATGGGTTGCTGTAACCGTTGCCACTTGGTTCCAAGTCTTTGTGGTGGGCTTTCCTGTCATGTTTTTGATGCAAGGGCATCCAACTGCATCCTACTTTTTGAAGTCGGCAATCGTCTTTGTTGCTTGCATGTCATTGCTCCTGTTCGTGTTCGTTCCCAAAGTTATCATCCAACGAAGCAATGCCGCGAGTAAGGGGTCCATGGAGAGCTTCCAGGAGAGCGCCCTCCCAAACGTGGACAACGTCGTCAGTTCGGGGCAACAATCCTCCGAGTTTCAGCAGCAATCAACTCAGGATGCTTCCTCTTCCACCGGTTTTGGCATACGAGTGGTAAGGTCTCCCGTGATATCTTCGGCGCGAACGGAGGTACAAGAAATCCTCCGTGAGCGAATGCGTGCACTAGAAAACAAGATTCTTCAGCTCGAAGGCGAGAACGCTGCACTGAAGCACGGGGCCATGCCACCAGTCTCACCGAGAACTGATGATCAAGCAGGGTATGTAGAAACGCACGGAGCAAACTGTACCCCAGAGACCGAAACTTTGTCGGTGCTGGGGGAAGAAAATCGAGCTCCAGAAGAGCCGCTGGAACAGTCCATTCCCGAGCAATCGGACGACGTGGGGTTGTCTGCGGAACATGCAGCCTAGCTAGGAGCAATAGGCAGCGGTACACGTGTACCGGCGGAACCGTAGGGGAGACAATGGGACAAGCCAGAGGGGAAGAACATAGTGCCGGCAGACGACACTCGGGGGGTACAAGTATTTCTGGTTCATTCCGTGACTATGGGCAATTAGCTTGATAACAATCTCTGCATGTAGCTTTGTGCCATTCGAGCTTCTGGCTAGGTGGCCTCCAGCGGCAAGGATACGCCGTCGTACTAAACACGGTACTACAGTACCGGTATGTGCAAAGCTATCGCCTCGAGGGTCATATCTCGAGCAAGACAATATATGATTCGTTATCGTAAGATTGTGTTTTTAGTCTGTGTATTGTATATAGTTCCAGCCAAAAAACATTGTTCGCCCTCCATGAGCACATTAGCCATCAGTCAAACAAAAGCAGAGCAGGGAGGCGACCCGTCAATCATGAATGCATTGGTTCCTTCAGTCGTCGTTTGAGTACGTAGTCACTCCTTTGCACCAAGTTTCTAATGTCGAAGCTTGCGGGTGGCAGGCGTAACCACGATGCCTGCGGCACTTTGCGTTTCCTGTGTTGTTGCCTCTGTTCCGCTAATAGTGCTTAGTTGCCCCTCAATATAGGTGGACATGAAGTTGCAAAGCAGTTGGACCGCGGAAAATGCCTCATCGCTGCCACAGATGAAGTTTCCCAATTGCAAACCACTCAGCAAATCAGACAATAATCCACCGCCTTCTTCATTTTGCTTGCCACCGCCGCCGCCGCCGCCTCCACCTCCAGCAGCTTGTTGCCCGCCTCCCTTGTCGCCTTTGCCCTTCTTGTCATCACCAGCGAATCCAGCAAACGCATCGCTCGTGTGAAGGCTACTGGCCAACAAGGCGAGCACGAACAGGCAGAAATGCTTTCCAAAGAGGTTCATCGTCGTCTTCTTTTTGGCTTTCCTCGTTCGCTGCTTGGTTTGCAAATGCTTTGCGTTCCCCAGTTCCTTCCTGTGTGTGGCGAGACTACATGCTCGCCAGTCGAGAAGGAAAGATACTTAGACGAGGTTTCGAGCCGTTGGACTTTTGGTGATTAGCTTCGAGCCGTTGGCAAATTCCAGGTGGACGAAGCAAACAAACTGATGAGTACGGTACCAGGTACCAGTACACCAGTACCTTCGATAGCTGGGGTCGTACTGTACCGCACTGCCGCGACTGTTTCCGGCTCATCAATGATGCATCTGGCCAGCCAGCCACGGTACCTGGCAGCGAATTGCCAACCTCGAAGGCTCGTATACACACAGTGCATTAGACTCTCAATTTGCTTGACTAGCTGGCTAGGTGGAAGACTGTCATGAGAGGAAGGCACTTCTTGCAACACTCTTCATTAAGTTAAAATAGACTACGCATGTGTGGAGGCTCTCTTTCTCTTTCCATTGTATCGGACGCACCGTGCATCAGCCAAATCGTCCGCTTTACTCCCATCACGAGAGGAACGGGCGTTGGCTGCAGACGTGCTGCCTCATGGAGAAAGGAACTCAGGCTTCCACTTTGGTTTTCTTGGCCCCACGAAGCTTGCTGAGCTTCCTTCCACCGTCGTCACCGGTCACAGTGGCAACAACTTCGTTAACAAGACCCTCTGCTGTAGCGTATGCTGTCTCAAGTGCAGTGTTGAGTGCAATATCCACGGCAGTGTCAAACAAACTGGCGTCAGTGGCATTGCCAGTGCCAGTGGAATTTGTTCCACCTTCCAAGGCATCTCCAACTTGATCTGCAACACTGCTCAGAACATCCAGTGGATTAGGAATCACGTTGCCGATATTAAAACCACCTCCATCTCCTCCTGCATCAGCACCACCTGCAGCACCAGCTTCTGCGACACCCTTGCCACCGCCAGCATCACCCTTGCCGCCACCACCACCTTTGCCCTTGCCATCACCAGTAAAACCAGCAAAGGCGTCTGTTGCCTCCCAGCTGTGGGAAAGGACAAGCAGAACGATGGTCAACACGTTGTAGAAGCGGAAAGATGGCATCTTTGGGTTGGAGAAGCAAACAGAAAAAATTTAATGACTGAAGTGGGGTTGTGGCTGGAAAGCAAATGTTCTTGCTCCCTGACGAGGTGCTAAGTAGTAAAACCAACGTACATCATCATTTCCTTTTGTCCCGTGGGTTACTATTTGATTGGAGTGGGCTGTGGGTTGAGGTGCGCTGTGAGCGTTGCCTTGACTCCCACAATAAGATCTGCCAAATCAGTTCCGGTTCGAGTCTTTTTCGCTTCTTTTTATCAATTTTGCTTTTTGACCGTCGTTTTTCTTATTGGAAGAGCCACAAAGTGATCAGGGGCCACGCCCACTTGACTCGACTCACTCCGTCACTCCTCACCATGGACTTGCTAGTTTGCAACCCGCCCAATAACTTGGTTGATACTGAACTAGCTAGAATGCCAGCTAATAACTATCTAGCTAGCTAGAAGACTGAACTAGGAGAGAAAATTGTGTGCAAGAATGTGCTATGTAGAAAACAATATAATGCCCAACTGCAGCGCTCATCTTGCAACCCGCATTGGTAGTCTCTAATGGTATAATCGTAACAACACGATGTGTGACTGCTGTTTGTTTCTCTCAGTGTGTTTGTGGACGTAGCTGCTAGGGGATGGGAGCACAGTGCGGCAGCCAACAGCAGAGCAGACGCTGGCTGCGGGCGTGCTTTATAGTAGTAGCATTCGAAAAGCAAACCGTAAAGTACTCAGGCTTCGACAGTGCTGCTCTTGGCCCCACGAAGCTTGCTGAGCTTCCTTCCACCACCACCACCCACAGCATTAGAAAGAGTAGATACAACCTCAGCAACTAGGTTTTCAGCTGTAAGGTATGCTGTTTCCATTGCAGTTTCAAGGGCAACATCGACAGCAGCAGAAAAGATTGTGGAATTGCTGCTTGTGCTATTGCCCATGCTTTCTCCTTCAATATCAGATTCATCAGGGTTCATTGCATCTCCTACATTATCCACAATACTCCCAATGACCTCCAAAGGGTCGGGAAGCACATTGCCAAAATCAAAGCCTCCTGATTCAGCACCACCGCCCTCTGCAGCGCCCTTTCCACCTGCAGCACCAGCAAAATTGGCACCCTTGCCACCACCACCACCAATGGCACCTTTCCCTTTGCCATCACCAGTGAAGCCAGCAAAGGCATCTGTTGCCTCCCAGGTGCGGGAAAGGACAAGCAGGACAATCGTCAACACATTGTAGAGGCGGAGAGAAGACATCTTTGGGCTGGAGAAATGGAATTGAATTATCTGCCAATGTTGTGGGGATCAAGTTTCTCCTTTAGTCTTCGAGATTCAAAGTGGTTGCAAGAATGTGGGCCCTTGCAGATCTCACTCCATCTTTTGGCAGCACCAACGTGGTGAAGGTGCCTCCGAGCACCTTGTGGCTAGCTAGCTAGCGTTGCTTCAGCGAAGGTTTATATCCGTTGACTGGTCCATTTGTCTCCTCTCTGTACTATAGTGACCGTCATCTTTGGGTGCTCCATTCCGTTTCGGTCGGGCAAGGAAAGTGAGGATGAGGCGCACCTAGACTAATAAAAAGGCAGCACAACATGAGGATGAGTGGGCCGTTGAAGCCAATGACGCAATCCGATTGAGATTCGATTCGAGAAGCTAAAAAACGAGAAGTCTGACGGACCAGTGACGTTGTATTACTCTTAACCTTATTGTATCTGGGATCAAAGATTTCAAAGACGATTTCAAGGCTGTCTCCGGTCCAGCGACCACCCAGTCACACATCTTTGGCTATCGTTTTTCAAGCGTTTTTGACCTCCTGTTTCTTGATACTGGACAGTTGGCTTCACGGAAGTCTTTATATCCTTTTTGTTCAGCAAAGCTGGTCAAAGAAGGCCGCGACCTTCTCAGAGGCATGGGCCATAAGAATGATTTGAGGCCATTGCAATAGCCCCAATAGTATTAGGAAAGGAGATGTTCTGCTTCCTTCGACATGCTCGGAGGCAAATAGTGAAAAGGTTCCTGTGCTTTGGCAGAAGATGCAAATAATGGGAGCTTCACTGTCGTTCAGCCGTAGACTCTCCAAGCCCCGGTACATGTGGCTTTGTAAATAAATAAATAACTTTGTACTCTTTTTTACACAGTGAAAAAAGGCAAAAATGCCGCTCACATTTTGGATTCAAATCCACACTCGAGGTTTTCGACCGTACCGGAGATAACAAGCAGATAACAAGCAACAACAAACAACAAAGCCTGCTGCTATCGACTGCTAGACGACGACCAAGACCTTAACCACTGCTGGTGTAACTCACAAGGAAGCTCCGTCTATACCCATAGGACACCCGTTCCGAGTTACACCGCCACACAGGCACACCCAACATGGCGACTTACAAGGAGATAGAGGCTGCTTTTATTGCCGTGGCCCACACTGATTGCGTCTTAGGAGAGTGGATTCCACTCTCGTATTGGGCACACAAAGTATCACTGAAGCTGGAAGCGTCACTCAAGATCTCAAGGCTAAAAGATAGCCTTACCAAAATGAATGCTCTGAATAGACCATTTGTCAGCAGCGCAGACCAAGTAAAGTATGGCGATATCATCAAGATCCTCTGGACAGAACGAAGAATCTTGGTAGGAGGGAAGCTGAAGAGGATACACTTCTTCTGTGTTGAAACAGATTACCAGAGCAGCGAGAAGTTGTCTACGAATGAGAAGGACAAACAGATTAAATTCGAGGGAAGATACTTCCATTACAATCGTCGAGAAACATTCCTCGCCAACACTCTTATTATCGATACACAGCAGCCCACTCGAGCAGCACCGGCAACTGTAACACCAACCGACACAGTTCCTCCAAGGACAGCAAAGAATGATATATTGCATGAGAGTAACAGAGACCTTCGGGACTTGCTGGAAACTATTATTGATCCCGAGCAACTCGCTAATCCAACCTTATTTAATTTTGACATTGATTTACACAAGTTTAGATCAACAATACTACAAATGGGTAGAGGTCTGCAGAAGGAGGCAAACGAAGCAAGAAATAAGCTGTTTGCCGGCAACGACGATGACTTGACCAACAGAATCGACCTGGGAAAATATTCACCTTTCCTGGATAAACATTGCTGTCCACTGCGCCGGTCCTCGATCCAGAGCTTTTTGCATATCGCACTTCAAATCAATGAAGAATTACCGTCAGCCAGCATCCTTCAGCTGGAGAAGTATGGTGGGAGCAAGGGCCTTGGTCTGCATCTGGTTCCCGTCATTCCAGCCGATTCGCCACAGTCTTTCATTAAGAATGCGAGGAAGTACTTGCCGACGGTGTATGGGGCCATGGTCTACGGAGATAGTTTCCCAAGGAGAGCCCTCTGCTTCCATCTAACCAAATTGCATCAAGAGCATGAACCGGAAGCCTTTGAGGATATCATTCGGACCTCAAATATTTCAGTGCCAAAGATGGATCCACACCGGCAGATTGCTATGTGCCAGCAGCTCAATTTGACCTATGAAAAAGTAAGAGGAATGAGAGCTTTTTTCATGACAGAAGGATGCAATCCTCTCAACCCAGAGTGGAAAATGAGGCAACTCGAGGCAAAGGTCGCCGTCCAGCCTACCTTGCTCAAGTTTCGTGAAGAGAAGACGAATCGAACTGGTTGGGTTCGGTCGGCTGAGGAGGTTATCAGGAACGAAATCAAGTCGGAGGCCACACTAGCCGATGATTGCGTCCATGTTGTTCTTTCTGCAGACCATGGCCAAGGAGCGTTTCGTGTTCACATATCAATCCTTTTCATTGCAGGCAAGAGAGTCCGCAAAGAATCTCATGAACTGATCGGAATGATCAACTGCCGGAAAGACACGAGGGAAGTGCTTCTATCAAGCGGAATCTCACAGGCCGTCAACGAATCATTGAAGAAGCTCATGGATCGTCCTGGCGGCCTTCCAATTGAGCTCTATATTACTGGAGACTTAGCCTTTTACGCTCTTGCTCTTGGCAAGGAGAATATGTCGGGCCAGCACTGCTGGGAGTGTCAGTTGATGCGAACTCAATTCCAAACGGATCCTACAAAGAAAGGCAGAGCATGGACACTGAGGCTGATGAGGAAAAGATACAACAAACTAGAGAAGAAAGAACTGAAGCGCACAAATCCGCTCCAGCAGAAGGGCATCAAGACCTTACCTCTCTTTGATTGCGTCGAGCCAACAAACTACCTGCCGCCACCGCTCCACTCTGTCGTTCTATTGGTCAATACTCCATATGATTACCTGCAGAAGATTGTCTGGTATCGTCTTGAGAATGTGCCGGTGAATTTGATGGAAGCCAGATTTGCCAAAGCGGATGCTGAACTCGAGGTTGGTCGGCTGTGGAAGGACTTGGTTGACGCAGAGGAACACTGGAATGAAATGTACAACGTGATGACGGAGCTTGTGGGAAATCCAGACACCCAATTCGAAGATACAGACCATGAGCAAGACTACGTCCGACATGAGGAGCATCTCAACCTAGCAAAAGCATGGTTTGAAGAAGCACACAAGGCGCATTCGAAAGCTTCGGATCAGCTGAAGGCAAAAAAGAAAGCGTTGAAAAAGTTAGAGGACAACAAGAAGGAGTACGGCCGGACAGCACAAGACCTGTGGATGGTCATCCAACGGAAGCTTGACAAGGATTACAATGTGCACATATCCTCTTACCATGGAGGAGCAATGGAAGGAAATGAGTGTAGAAGGTTGCTCCGGGAAGCGGTACCAATAATGGACGACATTCACCAAATTTTGCTGGAGCATCTAAACAGTTTGTCGGAGGAAGAGAGGAAGCAGTTCAAAGCTGACCCTGCCGAAGTGGAGCTCTTTTGCGAAGGATTCAAAAGGCTCTTCCAGTACATGGACGTGATAGCCCATTACTGTTACCAACCGTACGGAAGCATGAGTGACGAGGACGTTGTTGACGCTCACAAGGCAATCGATTTGGCAACCGCCCTGTGGCTTCGATTGATGCCGACCATTCCAATGAAAGTTCACTCGTGGCAACATCTCAAAGAGGCATTGGAGAGACTCAGAGGCATGAAGAGCCATATGGAGGAAGTCATGGAGAGGTGCCACCAACAAGGCAAGCGCGACAACACAAGGCTGAGGTGCTATCGCGATGATTTCAAAAAGGCTCTCAATATCCTCCGGCATTCTGCCACCGGCAAGAAGAAGGAAGTCCAGCAGAAGCTAGAGGAGACCATGGAAGCAAAGAAGCAGAGAGGCCGCAAGAGGAAGAAGTCGGAGCTTGACCAAGAGATTGCCAAAGAGCGTCGGTCAGTGTATCTCAAATCAATCACATCCTTGCCTCCTTTGGAGAAGGAATACCCAAGGCTGCCAGAGTTACTGAAGCTTTATCGTAGTGGGCTACCACAACAGCAAGGACAAGTGGAAGAGGAGGATGTGCCGGAGGTGGAGGAAGAAGCGACGGATTGAATTACGGTGGGTGGCTGGAGGAGACGGTGGCTGGCTGGAGCGAGGAGTTTATTGGATCGATCGATCGATCGATCGATCTCCGCTACCACAACACCAAGAGGAACATGATGCCTGAAGAGGATTGAACGGTTGAATGCCATCGTCGAGGAGTTACATGTACGGTACGTCGAGGAGTTACATGTAAGGTGTTGGTATTATGCGATCGACACGGAGAGGAGGTGCGAGCCACAAAACGGAGGAATAAATAAATAAATAGGAATAAATAAATAAATAGGATTTTCACTGACGTACGTGTTAACTTCAACCCTAACCTCGAATATATTCGTTGAAACCGATTCGAACGGTATTGCTGGATTTAAGGGGCAAACTTTACGTTGAATCTACATGAGCTGAGGCCTCTATCCTTTTGAACGACAGTGCTTGGATGCAAATAGGAAACAAGATTGGGATCTACGAAAGCCAGATTCGTTGTAGCTTAGCTGGCAAGCAAGTAGTACATGTAGTTTTAGCTTTGGCTGTCTCGAAAGATCCGTACCCCGGACAGTTGCCAACGAGGCGATACTGGTATAACCAAGCAAGGGCTGATCTGGCGTCAACCGCCGCAACAATGAGATTCTCGGGTGGTCTATGTCCGGCCCGGGTGCAGTGAAATATTTCAACTGATCTCTGTTTTGAACTGTGGTATCCAGCATCCTTCAAGTCTTCTACTAGTAGCAGACTGGGCCTATCTTAGTCTAGTAGTGGGAAGCAAGCAATGATGGTATTCTTTGAAGAGTAACTTCAGTTAGTTATTTTAGGATTACTTTTACAGAAAATCATGAAAGAACGCTGTCTAAGTATGTGTAGTGCGGTCAACGGGTGTGGTCGTTAATGCATTGGTAAGGCGACGGAAAGGAGGTAACTTCTTATTAGGTACTCCAGGTCCGCTGATGATGACACAAGAGAGGCAACCTCTGGTGGATTCCAGCTCTCTGATTCCAGCAGGTGTGCGAGAAAGAACATGAACGGTAGCATAGCTAGCGAGACCCTTACTGTCTGTCATCGGCGCCTCCGCAAGGAACGTTCCTTGTATCCGATGATGAAGGCATGGAAATGTCGTCACCAAACTCATCGTCATCGTCCAGTATGGCCAGAACGTCGTGAATGATGTTGAGGATTTCTTGTCTTCGCAATGGAGCGCCTCGTGGTGAGGCAATGGGCGGTTGTGTGCTCGCATCAATGGGAAGTCCCAAGGAGTTTCGGAGAGCAAAGCCATTGTCGTTGCTGCTGCTGTTTGGTGATTGGTCCTTCATGGTGTTGTAATTAGTGGTGGTGTGCTTTATCCAAAGTGTTTTCGAAGTGCTCGAAATGAGATTGTGAGAGGTAGTCTAGTAGATCTACTAGAACAGAGATCGCAGATTGTGAGAGGCCAAGCCAAGCCTGCCAGGAAGCACACGGCTTGAGGCCCCCGCATGAGCCATGACCAATGACGGCACAGGCATAAGAAAAGTACTGAGCTGTAGATCTATTAGGTAAATCCAGTGTTCCCATCGCTAAAACATTGCTTCTTTTCAACTCACTTAAAACCAAATCCCACCTGCGATCCCACAACGCACTATGGACACGAACAGGTGCTACAAAAATAGCTAAAGATGAAGGACGGTCGGGCATGACGACAGATGGAGAGAAGCCAACACGATCTGTCTTCAAAGTGGAGTATTGAAGTGGACTACAGTACCTTGAAGATGGTCAACAGATATACTAACTCCTTTCGTCTCCTCTTCATATGACGCGTATTCTGTCAGGGCAATAAAGGGAAGCTCGGCAGTAACATCACAGAAACACAGAACACTCCTTGCAGCTGGTTCTCGTTCCGAAAGCTTCGTGATTCGTCCAATTTCCTCCGGCAGAATCCCCAACTGCAAACTCAAAGATACAACTTCAAATTTCCAACGCCTCCCTCCAATGAAAGTGCTGACTTTTGGTGTCTTTGAAGCTGAGTCAGAGACACCGCAAGCTAACAACACTCTTACAACTGCCTTTGGATCATAGGCTGGGTCAAAATGGGTGGTTCAACAAGCCTACCTATTTGGAGGTCTAACCATCTCCCCTGGTTTCTCAAATTTTTAAGTGTTGTTCTTGTTTCATTCTTGTGATAACAGTCCATGGTTCCCCCTTTCTGAAATGTTGAATTTGTTTGGTTGTAGCAGTTAAGCTTTGTCTGTCTTTCTCACACACTATTATCCGCTATTATCACAAAATCGTTCACACAACGTTCTTGCTAGCTTTTCACACCAAAATTTCAATGCATGGGCGTGCTCCTGCCGTCCTCTACTTTGTGGTAGAGTCCATCCACTCACTTAGCGTTCTGAGCCGTATAAAGCCAGCAATGTTGGAAAAGAAGCCTGCATTCCACAAAAAACAATCGGGACCCATCCAGTGGTCGTTTGTGAAAGGTATTCTCTTTTCAACTCTCGCTGGAGACTGGAAGGAGAGTAGCAAAGAAGCACAGAAGGTACAGTCCGCATTGAAACGTTGAAACTGCCCCTGAAGATAGAGTCAGGCAAGGTCACGTTGTTGAAGAGGACCTGCGATGCGGTTCGATTCTGTGCTTTGTGCTTTGCAACCCCAAGAGAGCATCTGCCATACCAGCTAGGAGGCCTCGAGACTCCCATCTGTTGTCGGAACCAGAAGTGGAACATTCAACGGAAGCAACCTGTTTGAGGCCTTCTCCAACAAAGTGTCCCTTGCGATGTGTGGCGGTGTGGCGCAATTCCGGGAGTACTGGTAGGTCTCTAGCTAGACTAGCTCTCTCGCATCGCAACATCTCCTCCCAAGCCTCGCAAGCCAGCTACCTGACCAAACTTTGCTCCAACTTGCAGCAAACTTTGAAACTTTGAAACACCCCCGCCGGTACCTTCAAAGTTCAAAGGCTGCGAGGGTATTGCACGTGCACCAAAATGGGCTCGCCAAAAAGCAATGACGTGTCCGCAGCTACTCCGTACGGTTCTGATCCACAACGTGGAGTTGCGCGGGATCAGCTGCACTGGGCCGCTAACTACTAGCTAGTACTAGCTAGATAGTAGACCTCCCAATGCTAATGCTACCTTTTGGTCCGTTGCCGTGGGTTGCATTGCGGTTGGATGTTGACATCTATCGACATGAAGCAGTGTCTACCATCCGAAAAGGTCGCCAGTGTACCGGTATCATGGTACATAGAAGGGAAAAAACGATAGTCGGGCTATACCAGGCAGGGCGCTAGCTATCTTGGGCGACCTGTCGATGCAACTCCTGGCGTGGTCGACGTGGTGTTGACCACTCCTCCTCTTAGCGCACCTCCATCTCGTAGCCGAACGAAACCATTGGTCCAGCGACAATCGAATGATCTACCAGTCCCACGAAGCAAGCCCGAGCCGGCCAAAAACGATTCTAGATTCGATCGCCTTGTAGAGCAGCCAGAGCGACCACGAGTATAGCCCATCCCGCAACTGGAGCATCTTTTCTTTCGAAGCTTCGCTGAAACATCAGAACGAGGACGAGAAGGATTCTCGTAGATGCTGCCTGCAATTACGCACGAGGATCTAGCTAGCTATTAATAGTCGCGCTGGGCCGGGTTCGAGCAATGATATCTTCGAGTTGCCTCCACAGCTCGCTTGCTTCTTCGATTCCAACGGGTAATAACAATGAGTAAATAGAATTCTATTTTAAGGCTACTCTGAGTACGACTATCCACCGTCCAACGGGTAATAACAGATAGATCGTTGAGTCGATTTGTCGTCCTATCAATCCTCTCCAGCCAGAAGATCCTCAACTTGATGAAGAATCTTCCCCACAGCATTTCGCGTATCCTTGAAGACCAGGGCCAATCGTTTCACTGCACGTCTTCTCGCGTGTTCCGGGGCGACTACAATATCGTGGAACAGAAAGAAGATGGTGCCAAACGTGAAACCTCCAAGGTGAGCTCCGTGCCCGATCCCAGTATTCATTCCTAACTGTGCAAAGTCCTGAAGAAACCACAGGACGAATGCCCACGGTGCTGCCAGTTTCTCTCCCGCAATCTCGAAACGAGCGTCCGGAAATCGCAGACAAAAGTAGGATTGTAGCGCAGATATCGCCCCGGATGCCCCGAGGCTTGATCGTTGGTCGTTTCGTCTGCCAAAGATGCCCAAACTCATAAAGTTGGATGCGTAGACAGATGATATGTACATGTAGACGAACTTTCGAGTCCCCAGCCACTGTTCGGATCGCCCTCCAAAGAGGGCCAGAGCACCAAGGTTACCCGCCAAATGCTCTCCATGGATGTGTGAGAATCCCGACAACAAGAAGGAATCAGGCCGGGCTCGTCTCACACGCTTCTGACCAGACAAGAGAAAGTGATTCTCCATGAACGGAGCGAGCCGCCTGGGAAACATGCCGGCCAGTTGCCACAATCCAAAGACGAATGCGTTGATTCCGAATATCACGCTGGTTGCTGGCATTTGCACTGAGGACCCCGCAATGTTCAAGGCTGGAAGGACTTTTGTGACTTGCCTGGTGAGGAAGATGTTCAGTTCAGACGACACGACAAGATGAGCTGCATGGGGCAAGTGCTCTCTTATTGGTTTGGTCCATTTCTGGACTCGCTGTGGGATTCTCGGTGTCGTCCGTTTCCTGTTTGCCCGCTGGCCTGATGCCAAGTTTGGAAGGAAGAGAAGGACGAGGACTACAAAAGCAGGAAGGACTGTTGTTCTACGGAGCCGTCTCATCGTTGCAGTGGTCGTTTCCTTGTGTGAAGATGTCAGAAGTGCCTTGCTGCGACTGCACCGTGGAATTTGTGTTGTCGAGGTGTGTCGTTGATGATTGGCTGATGTCAAGTGTCGTACACCGCGGTACCGCTATGGCATGCATAAGTACGGCTACGAACTTTTGAAGTATCAACTATAAAACTTGGATTTTGAATGGTACCAAAGCGCCGTTGTGTTGCTGTCCAACATCATGTTGAGAAACTGGTGGTAGGCATGAACGTAGCGTGGACATGTATGTACCGGTACAGCACGCTGATTGTCTTCTTGTTTTCTTATATGCATTCGTTTATCGAACGCAGTGTACGTGCTTTGCTCCAGACCTGCTGCACCACTTCTTCTCGCATCATCTTCATGCTTCCAATGGGATTGTTTTCTTTCTTTCATCTCTTCGTTCAGGGCTGGTTGCGTTGGAGTGTTGGAGTTGAGTCAGTCCCAGATAGCTCCACTCGAACTTCCACGTGGAGCTCGTGCAAATCTTGAGATGATGCGAGAAGTCTTGGAATAGAATGAGAGACCATTCTATGGAACTACTGTTTACTGTTTTGCCTTCGCCTTCTTAGAGTTGCCTCGCGTCTTGCCTTTCTTGATGTAGCCAAGTGACTGTAGCCCCTTGACCAAGTTGCCGAGAGAGCATCTTGCCTCGGTGAATAAGCTCTCCCAATTGGCAATCACTTCGAGTGGTTGCACTTTCTCTCGCTTAGCATAGTCGTTGATACCACAAATGGTCCTCTTCACACAAGAGAAGTGGTCGGCCGGTAGATGTTTACGCCACTTGGCACCGTTGTTCTTTGTTTCCTTCCAGCAATGCCACCATAATCATCGGCATAATGGTCAAGCCCAAACCACTCGTTCCACACATCAAGAAGGCATTTATGTAAAAAAAAGAGAGAGATGCTTTGTCAATTGCTGCCTGGAAGGCTTTGGCCTGGGATCCCTTGGATCCAAGATGTTGGGCAGGCTCATAAGTTTTCTGGTTAATGAGGACCCGATAGAGGGCATCCAGGTCATTCAAAGTGTCGAGTGCTTCCAATTGTTTGTTCCCATAGTTGCTATCAAATCCGTTGATGTCACTCTTGACAACAGCTCATGGACTTTGGATCGAAAGTATGGACAACCACAGCCAAGGAGACTCTCAGGGATGTGCTGGTTAGTTCAGGCATGGGATCACTGGACATAAAGTTTAATCGAATCTCTTTGATGATCTTGCTTGCATCGACAACATACATGGAAACATCTCCCCAGGGAACTTGGTGATGTCCAAGTGAAGTAGCTTGGCTTTGAGGGTTTCAATCTTACTGAGAGAAGGTCTGTATATTTTCTGCAGAAGAGCCAAGAGAAGTTGGGGCCCATTGTGTTTGGCTCGAGGAACATATGATTTCAATTCTTCCTGGAGTGCATCGTGCAAGAGTTCAAGACAGCCTTTCCCGACCAGGCAAGGTTGGTTAGATCATACTGTGCAAACAGGATGTTGCTGCAGATCCCCATTGCATCGATGAGTCTGACCCCATTGACTGTGAGGTCCTGATGCCATTTTTCCATCATAGACTCTGAACCTGTCCAGGAGCAGTGAACATGTTGATTTTATTAATAGTGTTAGTATTAAGGTCTCCAACAACAAGCTGGAAGACCCCTTCCATTCCATGCTCTGTCATCATACTTTCAAAGGCGATAAGAGAGGCTAGCACATGAGACCAGAAGCATTGGACTCAGTCAGAGTGGGAATAGTAGACTGGTGGAATCCTTCAGTCCTTTCTTGCATGCCAATTCGATAGGCTGGAGTGTGGTGTGATGTTTCAGATGGTCGTCACCATGGAAACCCCTGAGGCATAGGGTGCTTTGAGGTTCCTTTCCCAGTCCATCTGAGCCAGATCCTGTCCAGGCTCCAGTGTGGTTGATACCTCCAAGCCGAGGGGCTTCTGTAAGCTTGGTCTTTTCTTTGGTTTTCCCAATGTGCTGGAGGAGCTCCTGGAATTGAACTGCGGTCAATGGTGCTGCAGTCATGGTTGGAGGATCAGATGGTGGGATGATTGGATCAGATTCAAAGAAGGCTTGTCTGAAGCCTTGTGGACTGAACAAGGATGCTGATGCTGTTGTGAAGATGCTGAGGCAGAGGAAGCGTCGTCAAGGTCCATTAATAGCTGATGGAATAAGAGGCAGTGAAAATCAACAAGTGCTGCGGCAACAAGAGAGCGGCAACAAGAGGAGGCCGGTGGATATCCAGTCAATCGAGTCAATCGAAGATGGAATTATGAGCTTTATTGTTGTTCACGTTCGGCGAATCGTCGTTTGAATAACAACAGTGTTGTTCTTCGCGTCGTTCGGCGAATCGGTCGTTTGAGTAACAACTGCAGTCCAGTTCATAACAACTGCAAGCCAGTTCAAACGACCAACTGCAAAACGACCAACTGCAAGCCAGTTCAAACGACCAATGCCAGTTCTTTGTAAAGCAACAACAACACGAGCGATGATTGTTGTTGTTGTTGTTGTTCTTCACGGTACATTCGATTTGAAACGAAAAAGTGAGGAGTTTGCGAAGATATAAGGCAAGCATGACTCAGCCTTCCCGAAGCATGACTCAAGGCATGACACACAAGCCGAGCCTTCCATATGCAGTCGGGGCTCATTTTCGATGAAATCTGTTAACTGGTCGATCGATCGATCACGAGATCGATCGATGAGTCGATCGCGACAGAGATGAGGCAAGGCTCTACGGTGTTGGGTGACAGAGATAACAGCAGTAGCAGTATCAGTAGTAGTAAACGTCAGTACCAGTAGCGGCTTCGTTACCGCTCGGATAGAAAGAGGTTGACTCCCATAGGAGTCCATTGTTTAAAATAAGGTCCTCATCGAGATTTCGATCGACGACAGGAAGGAATGGGAGATTGCTTACGAGCGAATCACCAACAAGAGGAGGATTGCTTACGAGCGAATCCAAGGGAATTAAATTGCAATAAGGGGAAGGACTACCGATGAAGAGTGCAAGAGGAAACTCTGGAGCATCTGCATCAAGGAGTAGCGTCAATCCATTGACAACCATAAGGGATAGACATATAAGAATAAGAATGAGTAACATCTCATAACCTCGCATGCTACCATGCGACAATACATTGTGCATTGACTAGTCTAAAGATCTAAGAGATGTAAAGTTTGTATTTCCAAATAAGTGAGCAGTTATTGATTATTTTCTAGAATAAGCCTGCTAATTGTAAAGCTGTAAAGCTGAATTGTAAGCTGTATCCCGTCGCAAAAGAAAGACATCGATGTGCACCACATGTATTTGATGGTGATGCAAATTGCCGAGGGCAAAACAACCCATGGAAAGACCCAGTACGGCAGAGCTACACGACACAAGGACCCTAGGCTTTGCTGTATTGGGGCAATTGCCTTTTACCTGATGTTTCGAATCTTTGTGACAGCTGAGTTCCAGTCCATGACCGTGGACGATTGGATGAACAACGAGCTGTGGTTCGACATCAAATTTCTTGCGGATGTCAACGGATCGAACAAGACCAATGAAATGAGCAACGACGGCTACGCGAAGCACATTAAAGGGGTGCTCAAGGCCATGAAATTGCCCTTCAATAAGCAGCTTCATCTTGGGCGCAATCTGGGGTGTAAGCTGCTGAACTTGCTTGAGGTTTCTGCCGATGAAGTCCGCCAAATGGGGCAGTGGAACATGACAATCTACGACAATAGCTACTCCTCCAAGCTACCAATGAATGCAATGCGCAACTTGGCCGGATTCAATACATCGACTGGCATGTACTACAATCTACGCACTCAAGTGAAGCCAAGCCGTGAGCTGTGCGAGCAGTTACCCCTAGGTTTTGCGTTTGGTATGCTAGAGGAACTGCACGAGGCCGATCCCGATGGAGAAAAGGCCACTGCCATGGAAACTCTACGTTTTTTCCAGGACCTCTGCACCGTCTTCCTACAAGATGCAGCTGCTATTCTGGTGGAGTATCCCGAGCGAAACGGCCATCCCATCTTTCAGGAGCTCGCAGTTTTTCACAGTACACTTTTTAAGGTGAGACTTGTTGTTGTTGCTGATTCGGCAGCTACTCCCAATCTAACACGGTGCATTGTTCAACAGGATTATTTAGAAGAAATGAAACTTACCTTGTCAAAGCAGAGCAACCCACTCGAGGCCGATTTGGAGAAGGTTCTGCCTGGTGTAAACCAGAGGCTGGCCTCCACCGTTGGCTGATGCTGTTTCCTGCTTGGGACGGAAGGTGGATGGACTTGTAGGAACAGTAACAGATGGCTTTCGAAATCTGGAACGTTCTCAAGAGATCCACAAGATGCAAGTAGAGCAAGCAATCGGCCACTCTCTAATTGAAGCAGGCACTCGGATGGTGGCTCCTACCCAAGCGACTACTGACACAGTTGGTTTTGGTGATGCCAGTTCAGCTGGTGGAGCAAACGACTTTATATCCGAGTCCGATGTTGAGGAGGTGATGGCAGAATGCGACAACCCGCCATCACCGAGAGAAGCCCCAGTATCACCAATGGACTCTTCCGAGGAAACGCCTCCACTTATTGTCGATGGTGGACCAGCACCGCGGCATAAGTCCAAACCAGAAGACCACATCTGTTTTCGAATGGCCATTAA